TTCAATAGTTTCGTTTAAAATGTTCTGAGTCCAGTCGAAAATTATAGACAAAACACGATTGTAATTTTAATGAGCACTTATAATAAGCAATTGCTCTATCGTATTTTCAGATAATCATAATGATAACTTGACTTTTGACAGGAGGGAGAACAATGTTGAAATTTGTAGTTCAGTATAAACTGGATAAGGAATGACATAAATTGCTTAATGCAACAGATACACGATAAAATGAAGCAAATTTATAACTTATGAGTAAACTTATAATTGTATCTGTAAACTGATTGTAAAATCTAGGTAAATAAGAGAGTGGGAAAAAGTACCTCAATATACCAAATGAAATATAATAAAGTATTTCCACAATGGTTAATACAAAACCTGGTTTGTGATATTTGTAAAAAATAATTAAATCAAAAGGTATTAAGTAGTAAGAATAATATTAAATTTTATGATTAAGAAAAACAAACGTTACTCTTTTATCAGCAAAGTTTTTAATTACTTACTTATACCACCTTAGGTTATATTCTTATGTACATATATAAATGGACCTAAACATTAAATTAAAGACAATTTCTAAGCCATTCATAATTATGACATATATTACACGGTTAAAGTAGGTCTAGTAAAAGTAAGCGTTAAGAATGATTAATATAGTATGATAAAATCAATCAATATATCAGGATTCAAAATAGGTTGAAATTTCGGAAAAATAAACATAAAAGCTGCTTAATAATAATGTGCGAAAACCTTGAACTTTCAAGCTCTAACTACGTAATGTTGTAAAGAAGAGTAATTGAAAAAACTGAAAAGAAAAACAAACAGAAAACAAGCAGGTTCGCATTTCTGAGCATATCCCTAAGAACTTGACGCTGCGAGGGACCAAAGCTTTTAACAGTTCAATAGCTCGGCATCTACTTGACACCGGGCATACCGTCGATATTCTGCACGCGTTCAAAATTATCAATAGACAAAAAAGTATTACCACTCTCCGCTTTGCTGAAGCGATTGCGATTAAGAAACTGAAACCGGATTTATGCATTCAAAAAGAGACTTTAATAAACTTATCACTACCCTGGTAATCTTTTTGTTTCTGTTTGTTTTGTGTTTTGGTTATTATTTTTTTCATTTACTTATTCTAAGATATTTTATACTCCCCCCTATTACCTAATTTTTAAAATAAATTTTATTCACACATTTCCACCACCTGATCCTCTTAAATTATCTTAACTTTCCAAATTCTATTTAATTATTATTACGTAATCTACCTTATCATTACTTAATTTCATTAATCTCTACAATTATTACAATTTATGAACTTCACTAAATTATTACACCACCCACCCTGGATTAACCCCCCCTCTTTTGACCTCTGACCTGTTTCTAGCATATATATATATAGTTATTATTGTAATCCAGTTATTTACACTCATTTATGTCAATTGTTTTCACACTATCTCCATGTAAAAAATTCTATCACAATTTTGGTTTGTAAGCAGCTGACGAGAAACCTCGAAATAATATGAATTCATACTATTCTGCATCAATGTTTGTTCTTGCTCTATTCAAGAAAAACAAAGTCAAAGTGATAGGAAGACAGAAAGGTCATTAACTAAATCTTGGTTGGTTACAGAAAGATTACAGGTATAAAAAAGCTAAAGTTGATCAATGGAATCTCTATAGATTTCACTACATGTAGGACATTAGTTTAAAGGTTAAATAGATGTTTCACAGATTGAAATCACGAGTCACTTGAAGTTAGACCACCATGGAAAACCTGGGAGCACTGGGACTCCCCAGCGGCGCGCACCCACGAACCTGCGCCCCGCGGGACTCGAACCCAGGACCTACTGGCTTCGCGCGCGACCACTTAACCATTAGACCACAGAGCCGGCATCCGTCGGTGTTAATGTCTAACTTCAATCAATCCACGAAGTCGCGCCACCGTACACCATTGTCTTCAATGAGCTGATATCTCACAACAGACCTGGTTGAGCTCCACTGGTAATGGATTCCCACTAGAACTCCAGGAGTACCTCTCGAAATCAGTCACTAGTGAGCAGATGATTATTATCAGAAGGGGTTTGTGGAGATTTTAGAGATTTTCACAGATTGAAATCATGAGTCAGTTGAAGCTAGACTACCATATGAATAATAAAAGGTCAACTGGACAGGTCAAAGGTAAGCCGTAACAAAGAAAAATAAAGTACACAAGAACAATGTGATAACTGTTTTGGATAATAATCAGTATTATCAGGGTAGGTTAAGGGTAAGAACAAATTGTTTTTGAACATATGAAGGGAGTTTGAGTTTCTGTATAACCCAGACTTTAATAAACATTAGTATACGCCCTTGAAGGCTTTCGTACAAAACTACAAAGGCTGACTTGATATCAACCTTATGACCGGTCTCAACAAAATATTTAGCAATGAAGGAAGATATCTGTTTATCCTGTAGCCTTATTTGACCATTGGAATTCATTTGTATCTGCAGCTATTTGGGTATGTGTGTAGTGTCAGTTATTATGGTAAGCACATATACCTTATTCTAACTTTCGGACATCCTAATTACTAGAGCCATATTTTGACCTTGTCAATTATTCACTTATCAGTCTTGATTGCTTTTATATGAGCGTATATGTGTGTGCCCTTCTTATCGCATTAATCACATGTCTGTTGTTTATTTTGTCTGCCTATAAATATTGAGTAATGCCTGGCTTGAAATGGAGTTGGCTTCCCAGCCATCTTCCCTGCGCGTCATTTTGCTCTGTTCTATTACATTCGCTTTACACACGGAATATATGTATTCAAAGGCCATTCTCGTTAATTGACTTATCTAAATTCTGTTATTGGATAACGTGATTTAAGTCGACGATTATATACGAGAATAGGCGATAGCAAACACTCATACGATCTAAATAGGAGTCAGATCTACGGGCCACTAAATGTGTTCCGCCGCCTTTAATTGTAGATCATGATTGCTCCTCTCTATGTATGTGCTTCCACATATACATGTTAATTAGAACACATTTAGGGATGCTGGTTATTTCCGTCATTTAATGATGTTTAGTCCAAAAAATTTAACAGAAACAATATGCATGAAAAATTTCTACTTTTTATTACTTTCCTTACAATATCATACCAGAAATGTATCACATGAAATGAATTCAATTTTACTGTTGCTCAAAGAACAACAATAAATGAAGCTCTGGAACATGGGAATAATTGTGCATATTTAACTAAAAACGTTTTTTCAGAATATTATTAATTATAGATGGTTAGCATGAAGGAAGACGAAAATTAATCACACTTTCTTAATAGAAGTAAATTCAGCTCAAAACTTGATACATTTCAGAACCTATATTCATTGCATGATTAGAAGCAATAGTTATTTGTAGAAAAATTTTGTTAAGTCCTTCTCTTTATCACCGTCACCTTCCTAGAAAAAGATTTCGCTTTTACGTTTATGAGAATGACTTTTCGCTTAGTTCACCGTACAATCAAACATGTTCCTACTTATCATTCTGAATTATAATTTACATTACATGTTTATAACTACTTAATTTTAAAACAAGTAGTAAGTCTTCAGATCACTTATCATTTTTACAAATATACAGTTAATACAACAGTTAATAAAACAATATCAAGTGAATTAAACTTCACCCCATTGCACAAGCAAGTGGCTATCAGGACTCAGTAGCTAAGTGGATAACGCGATGGCGTTTGAAGCGAACGGTACTGAGTTCGAGTCCCAGAATGAACATCAACTCTGAGATGCAGATACATCCAGCTGACGAGTCCCAAACAGGACGAAACGCGCGTCCTGGATTCCACTGCTAACCACTATCCATCTCTGCTTATAATGCTTGTAAATTAAGGCAATATCGAGGCATACGCACAGTATGCACATATGCCAATAAGAGACTGATCAACTCCAGTCCTAAAACATCAATGGAAAGATTCAAATAAAACAATATCAAGAGAAATAGACAGTTTGTTTATAAACTTACAATTTAATGCATCTTTAAATATGACTGTATAGCCTTGGAAATTGAATTGAAAATTGGGCTACTTTAATTTTATAAATTGTTTTCTATTTAATACATAAATGTATACTTTCTTTGAAAACAAAATCTAGAACGTTCAATAGCATTATTTAATAAAATTCCGCGTGAATAGATGCACTAGAAAACTATCTGTTCCTTTCTGACAGAGATATTTTAAATGAGTCTATCTTTTTAAGTTTATTTTAATCACTTAAGATATAGCAGTCAGCTTTCCAGCAAATTTTTTCCAGATGAATTCCCGAAGTTTTAGTTCGAAGTTATGATTGATGGAATTCAAGCAACAGAAAAAACACCACTAAACACGCTGGGTGGTCGGTACTCCATATTCCAAATTAAGGTAAACGTACACTGCTCACTTGGCACTTGATGGTTCCAGTAAATAAGAACTTAGTGAGAAAGGTCCTGGTGTAATCGTGAGTGTACAATTCTGAGGATTCACAAACTAGGACGAAACAGCATTGAGCTGTTCCTTGGTTTAAATGGTACCCAAACTAAGATCAATCCATGGTGAATACCTTGGGTATACATATTTCCTGTAGAATTTTTTTGTTTTTGATATTTTAGTAATCAGTCCCTAAAACATCCTAATGCATTAATGATAACATTCAAGGATTTTTAAGATAAGTATACTATAACAATTGACAAATCCACAAATTTGATATTTTATTCATCTTCTCTCATCCGCAATATAGCTCTCTTTTGAGAACTGACAAGATGCGGTAAAGTAAGCTTATAAATGACGATAACGACTAAAGACAACAACTTGATAAATTAGATATTTTTTATATTCCATATAGTCTGATAGTAGGGAAAGGAATGAAAAGTTTAAATGGGGCTTATTAACTATTTAATAGTAATTAATGCCCTTTAAAAGTAAATTACTTTACTGGTTCCACATATTCACAAACAAATGATGTTAAAAATGAAGATACATAGGTATACTGCATTACATATCTTTTATTTCCATAATAAACAAAAAGAAAATACTGATGCAATAATCAATTTTTTTTAAAAAAAAAAAGGACAAAATGTAGTGACGGAAACAGCAATGATGTCTACCTATTTATCAACGCTAGTTTATAGTTTTAGTGCATTACTTATAATAAGGATAGAATAGGTTCTATTATGAAAATGATATCTATACTAAACAATAAGTAACATAAATAGTAATATTAAAAATGTGTATAAATCCACTGATAACAGTTGGAAAAGAAAACTCGTACAGCACAAGTTCAAGCTTCAAATTGAACAAAGAGTTGAAATTATTATTAGTATTAATATTATTATTATGGACACCAAGGAAGGGATTTATACATATTAAACTGCTGAAAAATAAAAGAATATAAGGCATACACAACACATACTGATTGAATTATGATTATTATTACAATTATCTCTTTAGATAATATGAATAGTGATGAGTTTTCTGAATTAATTTATGAGGTAGACACTTGCCGCCTCCTTTCAACTGAAAAGATTGGTATTTCATTTACCATGATAATGAATTTCTAAGTTAGTCTTATGTAAATGATCTAAATTACGAAATGATTCAGTAGACGATAATGATGCAGATGGTGATTCATTACGTGTTGTTATTTCACTACTAGTAATGGTAATAGTAGTAGTAGGAATATTGTCATTGACGTCGTTATTTTGCGAATCGATAGAACTACGGTTATTATAAGGAATAGAAGGAAGTTTATCATCATTATTAATACTATTTTTACTATCTGTAATACTGACTACATCCATGCTTGGTTTGCTTATATTGTCAGATTGAACATGTTTAATAGTAACTGATTGTTTAAATTTTGGCGACGTTAAAACGCGTATATTTGAAGAAAATATTAATGATCCATTCGATTTGCTACAAATTTGACCATTGCTATTATCATTATTATTATTATCATTATTATTATTACTATTATTACTAGTCGAGTCTATGTTATGATCACAACCATTTGTTGTTTCAAAACTATTCATCGAAGTATAATTAGATGAATTGAAAAATCTATCTTCTGAAGATATTAACGTGTTTGTATATAAATAAGTATTCCCAGTGAAATTACTATTCTTATTTGATAAAGAGACAATTGGAGAGGCAGATCTTGTTTGTGATAATAATACAGAATTATTCGGTTTATCTTTTATTGAATATTCTTTTGAATTTTTGAAGTTTTTATTATCAATAGAAGAATTGAGATGTGATGATTCACTAAAAGCTGATTGGAAATTTTTAATAGTTGTGATCAGATGATCTGATAAACGATTTGGAAAATAGGGAAGATTATCGTCGGAAAATGCACGATTTAATAAAAGTTGATGCGAACCGCGAAGCAAACGATTACGATATCTGTAATTTTTTTTCAAAAGAAAAAGGAAGGAACATTTACCACTGAAATTTGTTACAAATAAATAATTAAATAATTTAGTTGTTGAGTAGAAATAAATCATCACTTTCTTCTAGTTCATATTGAATAAGTTGACAACCTAGAGAATATATAAATCTAAACCTATGTAACTGAAGAGTTTTACTACAATATTTAGAGAGTAATCTAATCGAGAAAATAGAACAAGCAATCTACATCTGGATGTTCTGCTGAATGGTAAATATTAGTAAAAATGTAACCATTAAAACTAATGAATAAGAATTTAAACATGTCAAGATTTGTATTAGCAGACTGTTAACTGGTTACAAAAGTTAACAACTCATGATGTAATATTACTGAAAATTTTATTCTTGTAACAACAAAAATGTTCCTAATTCAAATGTATCGTATTTCGTAATAGTGTGAATAATATAAACCATAAATGTACAGCTGTCATTAAAACTATTTTTGTGAAATGATTATTATTTATTCTAGATCAGCACTAAGTTATATAAACATCATGTTTACTGTACTAGCAATCTAAGGGTTGTTCATGGCAATACGAAGTCATTCAGTTGTATCTGAAATGATATCACAGTTTGTGACTTAAAGTATCATTTAGAACTGCTTGACTGCTGAGTAGCGACCAATGCAATATTTGTCAAGTTTGTTAGTTTGGGTCGAGTTCCACCGACTAATTTGTGATATGGACAGCAGTCTGAGCCAATATCCGGTATACTATGTTGAAATATCACGTGGTTGGAGGTGGCAATTGGAAAACTTAAATTTAATTTTTGTGCCAGTCGCCACACCCTAGTAAGGTGTATATGCAATCTTGACGAAACTGATGCTCACAATAGAATTCAAACTTGAGTTACCCGATTTCACAATTTGTGACAATACTATTTGGCTGTAAGAGTCGCATGTATGCAACAATAACTTATGGTTATAATATACTATTTAAAAAAACCCAAATAATTTGGCCTATATCATTCAAACGAATTGGGTGTAACTATTAAATATACTGGTTATAAAGAAAAGATTCTACTTTTTAAAAGATAAAGAAAAGGGATATATCAAACTAGAAAATAATAAAATTAAGATAATTATTTTTGAGAAAATACAATGATATTAGATCAATTAATTTAAAAATATTAGTCTTTTTGTTTATTATGATTTAGAAGGAAAACAGAAATTATCTTTTTGACCTTTGAATTAAACAAACAAACAAAATAATGCGATCTCTATTTTGTTTGTATTATATGATATATCAGTTATTATATGCATCTATCCTAATTAAAATTCAATGTAAAATAATATCGTTATTACGTTTTCTTCAAGGATGATGAACTACAGAAGCTCGACATTGTTTGCACACATAAAATTAAAGACATTCATGATTATCGTTATTAATATCATCATCATAAATATTACTAGCACTGTTGAATAGTAAACGATTCGTCAAATTCAGTGGTTGTGTTGTCTAAGCTGATGAATAATCAGTAATAACATAATACAGCTTAAAACTAGACATTATTAATGATTTTTTTTAATCAAAAATGATCCATTCTCTTAAAACACTGACGAAAGCAAGGAAACATTGAGTAGCTGTCCCGTTTCACTTTGTGTTTTGTCAGGAATATGGCCAAAAGCATATTAAAACATCTAAATCATGAAATCCTTGTCAAGTTGGAGGCACTAAAGTATTATACTACTGAGTCCTTGGCCTTGGTATCAAAAGAACTGGCTTACAAGACTAGGTTGCAAGCTCAAACCACGCTTTGATTACATCGGTTTGGAAAGTTGAATAATTTTAGTAGCGATCTCATGAATGGTAAACCTCAAAAACTTGTATAAATCTATGTAAATGATTAAGGTGGGCAGTTGAAGGGAATTATCCACTCCCAAACTGATATCAATCAGAAAATTTATGAATTCTGGTTCCTATTTGAAAAGGGAAATTAATAATTAAATGAATTGTAAATAGCTTCAATTTAACCGGTTGGCGGTTTGGGAGAGAATGATTAAATGATTTCTTATTGGTTGAAAACTGGCATGATGCCATTTAATGTTAAAATGCCCAATAAACGTGATATTAACCAATCAGAACCCAAGATGGACCTAAAATTCGAAATATGAGCTACCGTTTAACTGATACGTTCACATTTATATGAAAATAAATGTGGACATGATCGTCATCTAATAAAGGTAAATTATACCTTATCGATATCAGAGTAATATATATATATATACTTTCGAAAAATGATTATACTCAAATCAATGTAAAAATTTTACCATTAATAATAATAGCAATCACACACCAATGAAAAACATAATACCATTAATATGTTAAAGAAATAAAATGTAAATCATGCTACAAATCAGATGTATGCACATTATCAGTGTGATGTGTTAATATATGCAAAATGGTTTAGATAAACAAATAACATTAGAAAAGCAACAGGATTACCTTGTTCAATTTGATTAGAGTAAATTTTTGAGATATGTATACATATATGGTTGATAAAAGTTAGAAAACAAAAAAGAGGAATGTTGAATGTGTAATTGACAGTTTGCAATTATAGATATGTTTAACAAATCATTAGTTGATAGACAAACAGATTCGTTGTGGGATTAACATTACACTATTGTCAGTAGTAGTGATAGTAGTAGTAGTATTGCTCGTTAACGCGGAAGTTTTTTTATTTACAAATGATTAACTAATATTGTTATTTTTATTATTAATACTATCCCTAAAAATCAAATTTGTTCCAATCGTTATCTTTGTTTTAATCACAATTATTATTGTAATTATGACTACTGTCATCATTTAATATCATGACCTTGAGCATCATCATCATCATCATCATTTTCTGAACACGCAGAGCATTCCGCTGATGATCTAGAGCAATATAAACTGGAAAAAAAACAGGAATTGGAGAAAAACAAAATAACAGGCATATTTCAGTGATGAGTTAGGATGAGGCATATAAAGTGTTAATAAATAAAAACAAAACGTGAATATAAATAAATGAACGAACGAATGAAGCTTAAGTGTTATATAATAAAAAAAATCCATTATTAAAATAAATTCCACACTCCTCATAACCTGAGAGTATGAGATTAAATAACAATTAAATAGTAAATTTTCATTAAAACGGTGATTAAATATCTATCAAATTGTATAATTTAAACGTTTTGAGTTTGAATTCGTATTTGTACTTTAATAAAAAGGAGTTCAATCTTAGGAAACGATAGGTGTTTAGTGTTCCCTAGTATTCAATATCTTTTAAGTTATGGTTATCAGCCTATATTTACGTTGAACATATTTTCATACATCATGATTATTGATTGAAGATGTTGGGTGTTCAGATTAAGTAGCACGAACGCAACAATTATTTGTCTTTCCTTAGATCTCGAGTTCTTAACTGATCACAAACCTTTTATTCTACGGGATCATTATTTCTTCTGGGACTATATCTTCGATGCCTAATCTTTTCTGTTGACACCGGTTCTGTTACTAATTTGACTACTATGAAATTTCTATCGATGATCTTGTCCCACTGTTCTGATATAGTGTGGCGATTTGAACTGGTGCACATATGTGCCAGCTTCTACTTTATTTATGACTGATACCATCTACTTTGTTAGCTTGGCTGTTTTATTACTCTTGATGTGATAAATAATGAACAACCCAGTAGTAACATTTCAGTATGTAAATCTGGGTAAACTAAGTTATGAGTTACAAATAGGACATCAGTTTTCTAAAGATTTTCTATACACTTTCTAACGAGTGTGAACTAGCAATAAACCTAGGTCCCAGTTTTGTAACCTTTATCTTCAACAATTTAACACCTGTATAGCAGTCATAGCTGATAATCACAGTCTGCTTCATGGATGTTGTTTCTTTCAGACATTCAACATTTCACATATTCAGAATTATAATAATTTACACTCTAATTATTTGTTAATTACTTAATTTAATAACAATGATTTGAATATATTCTACAATCAAACAAATCAAATTATTGAGGAAACTTTAATTTACTTAGCACTTAGGCAACTTTCAGATCAATACAATCGATATTACTAGTACTAATAACAAAAAAACAAGTAATAACGAACAGAAATTATTGCGAAATAAAAAGTTTAGTGTTAGAACATTTGTCACCAAAACTGAAAGCCAACAAAACAACTCACTACAACAACAATACTTAGTGTAACAAGTTAGAAAATGTAAATTTCTCACAGATAACAGAAACAAACAAAATAAAATGTCAAAAAATAGTAGAACAGTTTAACATAGAACTGATGAAGTATAGTTGAAGTTGAACAAATTCAGTAGATAGATTATATATTTCTTGACAGAAATAAACAGGACATGTATGAATGTATGAAATTATCGTTACAAGATAGATGTGAAAAACTGAAAATATTTACAAAAGCCGAAATCTCTTTAGTCTACATTGTTATCATTCATAAACGCTTTAAACCCCATTCCAGGTTATGTTTAGTCATTTAGTATGTTTATTATGAAGGAGCATAAAAACTAAATTGGTGTACACAATGTTCTACATTTCATATGCTAGTATTGTTTACCTGTATTCATAATCAGAATAACTGCATTAATTTCTTTGTATGTTCCCTTTTTCTCTTTTTAAATTTTCTTATAATCTTGAGCAAATAAGTAATAAGCATGCAACTTTTCATTCTGTTTGAAAACTGATATATATATATATATATATATATATATATATATATATATATATATATATGAAATAAATTAATTCACCTCTTGTAAATTCTAAGGTGACGTAATTCAGACAATTCATTTACAAATTTGAGAAAAAAGATACATGATTAAATAAGAAACATTAAAAGTCCTTGACTGAGATCATGAACCGATTGATGTTAGACCACCATTGAAAACCTGGAAGCACTGGACGATCGCTTCGTCTTATTGTGGGACTCCTCAGCAGTGCGCATCCACGACCCCGCTCGCTGGATCCCAACACAGGGCCTTCAGTCTCGCGCACGAACGCTTAACCTACTGGACCACTGAGCCAGCATCACACCGAAGCTAGTCACTAGTGAGCAAATGTTAATTATCAGTTCAGGGGTTGTGAAGATTGTTAAGTTTCTGATTAAGATTATGATCATGGATGCTCATTGCTGAAGAGTCCCACAATAGGACGAAACGGCCGTCCAGTGATTCCAGGTTTTCAATGGTGGTCTAACATCAATCGGTTCATGATCTCAATCAAAAACTTACCAATCTCCACGACCTCCAAACTGATAATTAAAAAGTTCATCATTTTATTCTCATAAAATTAAACCAACACTTACTTTGGATTTGGACGTAGCAGAAAATCTTGTGATCCTTTTGTAAATTTATTTAAAATAAGATCTTCACCTGATGAATTACAATTTAAAAGATCTTCATAATCTGATTCATTTTGTTTCGATTTAATTAATGCTTCCAAATCTTGTGTACGTCTTAATAAAGCATTCATTTCAGCACGTGAACATAATGCTTCATGCATTGCTTTATTAGCATCCATTTGTGCTTCTTCAGCTCGTCGTTGAGCTGTTGTAGCACGTCTAGTTGCTTCGTTTTCATCTTGTTGTGCTTCACGTAGTTGTCTAGATAATTTGCGATTTTGTTCACGTTCATTAGCTTCAATAATTATTAGTTTATCACGTTCATTTGTCAACTGATCGATTGTTTCTTTGGCACGATCAAGTGAATATTGAATACGTACTCGATTACTAGTTTCAATATCTAAACGTTGTTCTAATTCACGAATTTTCGCTTCTAAACGTTCTAGTTCACTACGAGGAACCTAATAATTGGGGAAAAATGAAACAATGAAACACTCATTGGTTCAAGCTAAAAATATAAAATTATTAATCCTACTAATTCATTTTCATCTTTAAATGTATTATGATAAATTCACATCTGAAAGGTTGAAATAACTACTCAGTACACAGATCCAATCAAAATACTACTGATTCTAAAACCGCCCATGTTGAGCAGAACTGTTTGCGGTAAAGTAATAATAATAATTTTACATTTCTTATTATAATTATAGTCAACAAATGTACGTTCAATAAAATGTTACAAAATTTCTTCACTGAGGATTTGAGTATCGGTTATGCAAGCAAGTTATGAACTTCCTAACATCAAAAAAAATATATGCGTCAACATAAAAGCCTACAACAGTATATCTGAATATAATAGATATAAAAATTTGTGTGCACCACCCCTTATAACACGTTAACAATATCAGAAACAATTGTAACAACTAAGAATATGACCAACTTGATCGATATTATTGGTATTCAATTTCAATTTCAACTCGTCTATTTGTGTTTGCATTTTTTTCCGCTCGAATAAAAATTCATCAATTTCTTGTATCTGCGCTTGAATTGTAGCCTCTTTTATTGTTAAACTAGCTGTTGCATTTTGTAATTTATCACGTGTTTCTTTATGAGCTTCTTCTTGATCAGTAAATTGACTTTGTAAATCTAAAAATTGACGTTTCGACCGAGACAAATCTTCTTCAAACTAGTGAAACAGAGAAATAAATCAAATGAACAGTGAATCAAAAAACTGGATTCAACCAATATTCAATATTCAAGTGTGGTAGGCATCAAAATTGTTTTCATTCTTCTTATTATTATTATTCTTTTTTGTAGATCAAATTAATTATTTCTACAACAGAGAGAAATGAATTCTTGGAGATAACTTTAAATAACCAATAGCATGGAACTAAACTGGTATGACACTGTATCAACCAATAACTATTCAGTTAATCTATTAAAGAGGATCTGTAGGCTATAAGACTGAAATCCATCTACAATGTAAGGAATCGGTTACTCAGAAGAATCATACAGAGAAAGATTTATAATTGATAACATTTCTTAAAAGCTTGAAATAATATAAAATTTTCATTATATATATCCTTTTTTTCTACATTTTTACACTCCCCAATCGGTTTATTTCGCTGCATTCCCACATATATTTGGTAATTTTATGGGGTTTTTATGCTTCAAAAAGGCGTATAAATCACTAAGTAGTAGTTTTTTTTATTTTTGTGCAAGTTAATTAATTTGGATTTGATTTATAATTTTATAATTCCGTAAATCAGTATGACATGTTGGTTGAAACTGTTATGCTTTATGGTTTACATTGTATAATAACGGAGCTAAGAAACCATTAAAAGCTGGGAAGCACTGGAAAGCTTCTTGGTTATTATATGGGACTCATCAACAGTGTATATTCAATAGCCTACTGGAGATCGAGCCCAGGATATTGAGATCTCACAACAAGCACCGAAACTTTAGACCACTAAGTCAACCTCTCATGGTTTACATTTCTAAATTAAATCAATTCTCGATATTGCTCAGTCACATCCCAATGTCAACAGTAGGTAATTGTCTCACACCCAACATGACTGAACTTGACTGAGCACAACTTCTTAATAAAATTTTAAAAAACCAAATGGTCTGATAGCATTACTATGCCGCAGATTGGTTGGTTACTGAAAAGACGCATGAACCTTTAGTTTTTAATTAAAACTTTATATGATTATCTATTGCTCGACATCTAAATTGTACTATTTCATAGCGAAAACATACATTATTAAAAATGGAAGCGAATCATATATATACTTGAATACCTCTTTTTGTGTGCGTAGAGCACTGGCAAGTTGTTGTTGGGTCTCATCTAAATCACTCTGTAAAGCACGTTTTTGACGGTTCAGTATTTCATTTAATTCGTCCAATTCATCAACCTAACAAGTTAATGGTTATGATAAATGATTAAGAAATGAACAACAATTAAAACAATAATTGAAGTTCACTCATTCTTATAATAATAATAATAATAATAATAAAGGTATTATCTAATTTCCAGAATATTACTGGCGGAAAATGTGGTAAACTGGATGCCGATATACTATCTGCTTCAGCTTGCTATTGACATCAGCAAAATAGATCAGATTTTTAGTTGTAAAACTTTGTTTATTAGGATATATGTTAAGAATGCCCGAACACCGACTGCTTCAAAGCGTGGTATTAGTTGGTGCAGGAGAAGGTTGAAAGAAAACTACGAGCAGTCAAATTGAAATTTGACGTCCCCTCATGAAATCACTGACTATTGGAGTTTACTTCCGTTGGTAAGTTGAAATTATATCGTTAAGGCCCTCACGGTTATCATAAGCAATGGTTGTAAATGTTGGTTGATATAGCTGAAAATCAATTTCAATGACATATATCCACTCATCTTTTTTCTTTCCTTCGATCTTGAATTTGAAATTGATCCTATAACTTTTTTATCCTTTGGATTTATTTTTTTTTTCTTGAATAGTAACTTCTTTGCTTCGTCATCTTCACTATTACTAATGTTCTTACTACTTTTATAAATCTAGCAATTATATTGATAATATCTTCAAACTGTGCCAAAATAGTGTAGGAAATTGAGTTGATGTATTAGGTTCTGTATTGCATATGATATTTAATTGTAATTAAAGCTAAATTAGCTAAAATACCATTTTTAGTACTTCAAATCATTTAAAAGTCATGATAAATTACTATTAAATTAAATAATTAAACTTTAATTAGTAAATTAAACAATAATAAAATAATCATATTTATGTTATATCTTAATGAGAAGAAATTTGTATTAATGATGTTCACGACTTACATTAGGTCGAAAAGAAGTTTGTAATATAAATTTTTACTTACTGGGATATCAATAAATATGTTTTAGCATTATTATTATTATTACCATTAATATTGCATTATCATTGTATCATTATTATTATTGTAATATTATTATTACTAACATCCTACACAATGCTCATTTTATTTAAAACTGTCATATATAGACTGAACAGCTGGAATGTTTTCTTTTTCATAAATTGTTTTATTATTCTAATCTAAATAATTAGTCATTCATTCGTCGATAACATAAAACCAGGTACATATATACATCAGTCCAAGTTAACACATCTTATTAGCACAACAAGATGAAGCAGTTACTTGAATGATAGTAAATTATGTAAATAGAGATTGCATATAAAAGGATATGATACAGGGAAAAAGAATTGGTTCATAGAAAAAAGGATATAAAGTAAGTTTAATCTCATGGTTTAAGGGAAGATAAATAGTGTATACACCTACGTCATTGTGACCAATTCTTGGCCATGCCACCTAGAGTCTCTAACCACTGGTTATTATTATTATTATTATTATTAAATATGTACTAATTTGAATTTCTCAGTAATGAATTTTTAAATGATGCATACAGATGTATATTCAATGAAGGTTTAAAAAAATATTGAAACATTTATGCAGTTAATTGTAAAATGAGCTTACCCGATCACGTAGTTTTGTAATTTGACTTTGTGAATCACTAGGATTTGAAGATAATTCAATGATTAATGCTTCTTTTTCAGCTAGTAAACTTTTAACTATTTTCAATTCTTTTCTTAACTTAATTTCTAAAATAATAAGAGAAATTATTAGTAATGATAAATAGTATGTTAGATAATGCATAATAGTTGAGCACATGAGGAATGCCTGATTGTTTATAGGCTCATCAGTGTTGATATTTCTGCTGAAACTTCTTTAATTAGTTTATAAGTACACACCTAACCTCTAATGTAAAAAGCGGGAAGTATAACAGCATTAGGATTTAGATACGTTCCGCTTACGAGCCTCAAATAGGACGCAACATATGTCCTAGATTCCATATCTAGTTAATGCTGAAAATATAATAAACTTGTCAACACATTCAATATTGAAGTATGTGTTTATAAACGCTACAGACTAACAGAGACTAAAACGAAGTTTCCTTTTCATAAAAGATTAAAAGATTGGAAATCTACAAGTAGCAAATGAATTAAAAATTAGAAATAAATACGTGTGTAAATGATAAATAATCCGTGTATGTGAGTGTTATCGACACATTTACTTCCCTAACACTGAAAAAAAGGATAGTTTATATTGGTGAAACCTCAGAAAGCCCATGAGTGTATAAGTCTAGTGGAAAGAATCAAGAAGAACATTTGTTAAATTACAGAGTATTAACAAGGAACCTAGAAAGTATTTTATAAAAAAACGACTTGAAAAACGATATATCCCCAAAATATTTACATAACTTTCCATAATAACAACTATTCAAGGTTTGTACAGTTCCGTTACATTCTTCAGCTTTTTTATGTTTGTCACACAGATATGGTTAGAATTCAACACTCAATATTTACTTCATCAATTAAAAAAACACAGCTTATTTGCATATATTAAAAAAGACCAACATAAAGTGTATAATAGGTATGTAAATAGAATTTACATCAAATATTGTCCTTATCTAAAAACTAGGGAACACTTGGTAATAGCTTTCCCTTTGCTAGACACCATATACCCCTCAACAGCACACAGATCACTACAAATGAAATAGAACATGGATCTTTCAGATTCTGCTAAGAAAACACAAGCTCTAGACTACTCGATCGAAAAATAAAGTTCGAAATTCCTATCAAGTTAACTTATCACACAGTTCATCTGTCATCCAGCTCAATTGATAAGTACCTATTTTACTTTTATTTGGATCAAACACTAGAGTGTAAAAGTTTACTAGAAAATAAGTTTTTTTTAAAAAGACTAAGGAACATTTACAAATAAATAACCATATCACTTATGCCATCTAATGACAAGAGGAAAATTAATTTTAATTACAAAAACAATAACAATAGCCTACCGATATCACCATCATTAGAAGCATTTGATAATTCTATATTCAATGTAGACACTTCCAATTCTAACTGATGCTTATCTCTTTTTAAACGTGTATTTTCTTCTTGTACTATACTCATTGTTTCTTCTAATTGACGTAATTTGACTTGATTTGCTGTACGATTTGCTTCATAATCCGCTTCATATTCATCTTGCACACGTGTTATATCAATGCGTAATTTTTCAATAGTTTTTTCAGCTTTTTGATGATTTGCATATGCAGTTTCCAAGTCTTTTTTTAAATCTGCTATGGTATTTTGTAAATCCGTTAATTGTAATGTTAATAGCTGATTAGCCGAACGTAATTGATTTAATTCAGTTAATAGGGGTTCTGGAGCATTTGGATATAAAACTGTATATTCTGCAGTAGTATTGTTCTGTGTATCTTGTCCAGATGAATTTTTCAATGATTCCAGTAGGAGAAGATGTCTTTTCTCAGCTTGTTCCAATTTTAAACTTATCACCTTTAAATATTAAGAAGGTCATAAGTAATAAAGTATAAAACCATAAAACGTTTTAGAAAAAATATATCTCTTTATTAAAGTTGGACAGTGGTCAGTAGTTGGATTCAAAGGGAAAGTTTTGTCCTACTAAAGATCCATCATTTAGATGCACCTTCATTCAGGTTTTGATTTTCCACTGCTAGTCACTCCTGAACTTTGATTGAAAAAACTCATGATCAAACAATAATTACGAGGCAATCCGCTCACAATACAAATGTATGCCAACGGAAAATAACTAATTGCAATTATGATCATTAATAACCGGAAAATACAAGCCCTTAAATATAATAAAATTGTTTGCCCTAAAATTTAAAATATTTCGTTAAGATTGCTTCATTTTTTGAAAACAATACGAAATTTATAGCAGATTTAAAAGTTTGAAAGAATGGCATAAATCGCAGAGGCGTATTTGAAAACTATAGAATACACCGTAATAATTATCAGCCTCCCTATTCACTTTGGTAAATTAATAACCGAAAATCTACTAAAATAGCTGATAAAAATAGAGATACATGGTTGTTCCAGAATAAATTAATGACTGTAAGAGTTTAAATTTTTCAGTTGTTAATATTACGAACTGAAATTGGTTAATCTCTATTGATATATATGGATCCTAGGAGGATTGTTCCAAAATTGCCATTCAGCCACAAGTTTTTACTACTTCCGACCAGTGAGTCCCAGATAGAAAGAAACGTATGTCTCGGATTCTACTGTTAGGTAAAACCTAACGTTTTTTTATAAAAAAAAAACGTAAATAGGAATCGAGCAGTTATCTTGTTCAAGGTTAAAACTATTTAGTCATATGTATAAAAAACAATTTCATACGGTACTGAACAAATGAATTTTTTTTAGTTTAGTGACAATATGACAACTAAGTTTGGGTATAATCGTCAAAAAAACTACTCAAAATTCAATCAGTAACCAATATAAAGCTATACCCAGTCAATGATCATTAATTTTTTTTTAAAGATTTCTCAATTTTATAGTTATTAACAATTAATTAATAAAAGTCATTGTGAATTATCTGATCTCATTTTATAACACACACACACATGTTACCAAGTTCACCAAATGAATGAATGCAAAAATTTCCTTAGAAAAAAAAAGGCATAAATCCTTTCCACAATTCAGTTTATTATTATTAAATCCTGATATGGCTGAATTCGAATCAGGAAAAAAAATCTCTTCAATGAATGAATTATTTATAATTACTTTTCTTAAAATAATTACAAGAAAGTACAATAAAATAATTATGAAAGAAATTATAAAACAAAACATTAAATTCATTTAATTGTTAATATTACTATTATTAGTTATAATAGTAGTACTATTCCTGAAAGAAATAAAAGGTGAATGAAAAGAATATAATTTAACTCAGACCTAAAACAACGCCCATAAATGAAGGATATGATTGAAAAATTAATGGTTAATGCTTTATGTAAATGACAGATAACCATAAAGAGGGGAATTGTATTAGCGATTTATTTATCAAGCTTTTAAGCAATCAGTTAAAGAATAATAAATATGAAACGAGCAAAAACAAAGATTCTAGCAGAATAGCATGAATTTTGTAGGTTCTCGTCAGCTGCTTACAACCTGTGATATTTAAAAATCATAATTACATAATGGGTTTAAATTGCTTACATGAGAGAGTTTGTTTGGAAGTTATATTGAAGATATATTCGTAAAGTATATCATGGGTGTAAATGAAATTAATAGACTGAATATTGTAAATATATACCTAATGTGAAAGAATATTCTACAACATTAATTGTGACAATAGTTCAAATGAGGGTTAGAAACAATTGATTACATAATGAATAAACATTGATAGGAATATAGTGAGTAGAGTTCAGTTGAAAGATTAATAATTTGAAAGATAGTTGAAAAAATAAAATCAGTGATGTAACAAACACAAAAGAAATAAAATTTAAGGTGCAGCGAAAGAATATTTGTCGCCAAGGCAAGGAAAGATTAACAACCGTCTCCTTTTGAACACATAGGTCAGGTTTTTGACTGCTGATGGCAACGGCTTCATCAAACTTCAGAAGACTGGAGTTTTGCTGCTTATTAATCACCCCAAAGGATTGTAAGGTATCTACCTGATGTCCTGTATCAAAATGTTTGGTGATTGCACTATTCAGAGTCTTTGTTTCCCTTGTTCTAAGACTTTCTGGAACATGTTTAAAAAACCTAAGATATGCTCTCCTTTCAGTTCGGCCGATGTAGCTGCTTTGGTGATTGCACTATTCTTGCTCTTTTCAAAATGATAAATGGAACTATGTGTATGAAATAATAGATATAATCTGTTGTCAAGTATAGGTAAAATTAATTTTCTAGATAAACATATGAACGCATATGTTCCAATGAGACCGATTGTGACTCGTAATATCCATCTCCAATTACTGATCATGGTTGTTGTGTAAATTCCACCAATCGACAATTTCATGAATTGAAGCTGTTTTGTAGTTTGTTCGCTTCTAGCTTTCTTTCAAGCCTACTCCTACTTCAACAAGTATTATTCATGTAGTTTTAAATATATAGTTTGTAATAACACCTTTAATAGATATCATGATTAATTTGATGAAAGATAACTCGGTTAGGACAGACGTTGACATATAAACACATGGAAATTAATTCAAAAAATAACTATTCATTATAAATCCAGTGAATCAATAAAATCAGACCACGGATATTTCCAGTCGTATAGATCAGAAATAGTAGTTCTCTAAAAAGATTATCCAATCGATTCGTTTGAATGGTCATTTGCTTGATTAATTATTATATTTTAATGTATATCGTTTAGTGATATGAGTCATTTTGTTTTAATTCCGATGTTTTGCATAATTTATAAGTCTACTCATTATGAAAACTGTAATATATAAAACACTTTATTGTTCTCAATATAGAATTGTAGAGAATGTCGAGCTTCATTGAGATCGCGAACCGACCAATGTTAGACCACCATTGAAAACCTGGAAACACTGAACAGCCCTTTCGTCCTGGTATAGAAATCTTCAGGAGTGAGCATCCAATAACGCGCACGCCAGTGTCTACGCCAGGACCTTCGGTCTCAAGCGCAAACGCTCAATCTTGAGGCCACAGAGCCACCATCTAACGGTATTTATACCTAACAATTAATCCACGATATTGCGCAACCGTCTTCCGTTGTCTTTGGTAAGTGACTACTTCACACCCAACACTGTTGGACTCCACTGATCACGGCTTTTCAATAGAACTCTGAGAATTACCACTCAAAGGACAAAATGGCCGCTCAGTGCTTACAGGTATTTATTAGTGGTCCAACATTAATTTGTTATTTATTAAAAAAAGGAAAAAAAGGAATCTCAAAACTTACATTAGTTTGTTGTTCAGCTTGTATACGATTTTCTTCAGCTAATTCTAAATCACTTCTAGCACGATCACAATTTTGTTTATAATGTGCATTTTCAATTGTCAATGCTGAAAATTTGCACTTTAAATCATTTGACATTGCCTCCAATTCTTTAATACGTTCTAATGCTTTAGCATATTCATGTTTTATTTTGATTAATTCATTATCAGAATGATTTAATTGACTATCATTTTCTAATTTGATTGTTAATTGTGAAATAGCCGGTAAATCTGGTGTTACAGGCTTATTAATATCATTCGTTAGGAAAAAAAGAAAACCATCAGAGAATAAAACAGAAGTTAAAAATATTTTTAAATTGTAGATGGATGGTATAAAAAAATTATAAAATAGGAATGTATCGATTAGAATTGAAAACTCGACTTATAGACTTTTTAGGCAGAACTCATTTATAACATGTAGCAAACAATGGAAACACTTTTGTATACTAATCAAAACGTTTAAAGTGATTGTGAAAAAATTTTATTTTTAAAAATAAAGTAAAAATGTCAATAAAGGGTTGTGGAGATTGTCAAGTTTAGACTGACATAATGAATGAGGAAATGTTAGACCACCGTTGAAAACCTGAAAGGTTGTCTCAGCCTGGTATAAGACTCCTAAGAAGTGTGTATCTATTATCCCGCACGCGGGATTCGAACCCAGGAGTCCCATACCAGGACAAAACGGCCATTCAGTGCTCCTAGGTTGTGAATGGTGGTCTGACACTGATCCATTCACTATATCGATCGAAAGTAGAAATGATAGTGTTGAACACATTGAATGTTCAATTTCGTCTCTATAGATTCTATACAACAAGTAGACCGATACCGTCTCTAAATTCTAATCTTACATCTTTAACCTTAAAACAAACTTCAACTTGATGGCATGTTTTATGGATAAATTAATTAGTGAAAGCCTTTTTCATCTTTGTATTATAACTGATATCACAGTTTGAAATAAAACTCTAATCCTAAACCCCCAATCATTGCTTTAAATATCTAACCTTAACTAAGAACACTACGGGGTTCTTTAAAAATCCATTATAGTCCTTCTAAGGGTTCGAGAAGACGGATAATATACATCCATAAGGCCGAATTTATGTGTCATTTATTTTGATTTGCAGGCAGAATAACCTGTAGAAAACTTTAGTAGATTAATTAATTGTGTAAAATCTGTCTTTACTTTGTAATACTGTTTTCTTTTCCATAAATTACCATGTATAAAGACCATTTTCTGATTAACTAAGATTTTGGTGCAAACTGGTAGCATTTGTTCTACACTCATCTCCATACTATGCTTTTGGCAAAGTTACTAAAACGTAAGTACTTTTAAGAGAGCAAGCAATACAAACACAATTTACCATATGGTGTTTCGGTGCGCGAGGTAAAACGAGAATTAATGTCTTAATTCAGTATATGAGTAGTTTTATTTTTAATTCAGTATAATATTCGTGTGATAGTTGTTCTTCATAACATTTTATAATGTTCATTTAGTGTAACATTTTGTTTAGTATAATAGGTGTTTGCATAATTCCAGTGTAAAATCAATTTTTGTATCCTCAATTTTTAAGCCATTTGTGATATCATTTGATTAATCATTAAACACCAGTAAAATCTGTACATAAGCGAACATATTTGGTGAATAAAATGTTATCGAGTTCTTGGAGGGTGAATATTGTCATTATTGGACATTAGCCTTTATCATCCTTAATGCGTAATTTGGTACATTGTAAATTGACTAGATTTGCAAGAAAATTCCCGACCCCTAAATTTCAAATCACTGAATTTAATGAGATCGTACTCATCAAAACGTACATGGAAGTCGTAATAATGTGTGTTAAAGAAACCTATCTTCAAATTCAATAATCTGCATACACTCATTATTGTAATAAGGAAATTTAATCAACGGGAGAACGAATAATATGATGAAGTGTTTACCATTATAAAGTTATACAATAACTTACCTGAATAGTGCATCCAGTTTTACCATTCAATAATGAATTTGACTGAAGTTGACCTGGACAAACCTCATGTGACAACAAATCTGTTGAAATTAGACAGTAATAAATATACCATATGATTAAATTGCAATAAATTATTTATTACATCTGCAAAATTTATGATTTGCAAATGATAAACTATTCCTCTCAACTCTATGCTAAAAGTCTGTCAAGTTGATGACATGTTAGCTATTATTCATTAACGATGACAAAAACGCTGGATGTAAGACTTGGAGACCGGCTCAAATGATCGGTTGTCCCAGCAACTTTAACGAGATTGTCACATGGTTATTAATTAATGACAACTGATACACTTATACAAGCAAAAATATGGAAGTTAATCCAGGTATTAAAGCCTGACAAGTCCTTCTACACCCTCGAATCACCTTCATGAATGAGGGGGGATTCTAAACTAATCAACTCAGTAGTCTGTTTGAAAAGATACAGCAACTTGACGTAACCTATCTGACAATTATCTGGGCATAAATCATTCACTAGTCACATCTGGAATATTAACTTCTGTCAGACTCCAAACGCCTAGAATACTAACACACGGGAAGAAAGTCGGATTTTGTTCAAATTGTGAGTAAATTGATGTATAACTTGGTTTTTTGAATACTTCGAACTAGAATAAAAACATTTCGCTAAATAGAATGTTTGGTGAGACGTTATCACGTAATTTCTTTTTAAGATATATATATATATATATATATATATATATATATATATATATATATATATATATATATATAAACGAACCTTTCTCTTGATTATTCTGATCAGATTCCGCAGCATCAAATGAAGGAGTCAAGCGATTGGTTTGAATTAAAATCTATAAATATAAAAAACGATAAGTGATAGTATTTGACCATTAATCATTATATTAAAAACGACTCAACAGGGAAAAATTCCTACAGTAACAACATTGAATCTGACAGAGATATTAATGAGTAGTAACTGAATCATTTCATACACATAGACTCCTCAATTATCAAGAACAGAGCAAAAACAAAGATTCATCCAGAATAATGTGAATTCATTTTATTTCGTTCGGTTCTCATCAGCTGTTTACAATCTATAATATTTTAAGATCAAAGTAATTATAGATATTGACATACATATAAATGCGAAGGTGATTAGAGACGAATGTATGTATCATTATGTAGACAAGATTCCAATATAAGTAATAAGATCGTAAAAAAATTTGTTTCAGATAAATGACATGTGAGAAGGAAAGCTCCAGAATACTGAACTAGTGATTAAAAATTATATTCACTAGTAAACATGTGAATTGTGTAAGACACTGTAAACAGAATATTTCTACTGTTCGAAATAATCTTAAAACGACTACATTTCAAAATCCTGAAACAAATTAAACTAAGCTATGCAGCCGGTCATGCAATTTCATAAAACATAGAGTGATTATTTTAATATTATTATTACGATAAATCAAAAAAGCGGAAATATAAGGTGAGAGAATAAATCTTATGTCACTATTGATACATATTCGTTGGAAATAAGAAAATAAACCCTTGCTAAATATTATAGTCTTTTATCTGTGTGTGCTTATATTTTTACATCGTTCAAGACAACAATTGATCGAACCCAACTGGCGTATGTACATCTTGAGATCCTGAGCAAATTGTCATGATATTGTTATTTAGTAAGAAATTTTCGGTAAAATTATATATATATGATTTACAATAATGATATAACATTCATTGAGTGGATAAGTTGCGTAATAATTAGATAATGACATAAAAAATTAACATTGAGTAATTGGAAGAAAAAGGATTATTAATATTATTAAATCATGGACTTGCTACGTTGCGTAATATATGAAAAGAAGGAACACGATTTTTAATGGATGGTTAACAGAATAGTAGTTACGTAAGAATCAAGAGATGAATGTTGAGAAATTATAACTACTATCCAGCCTAAATAAAATCACAGTCTTATGCTTTAGGATAAGGACTATAAACTAAAATATCGCAACCACAATTTTAATATTCATAAATTAAGATAATTATATCGATAGAATTTTATGATTAACCATAGCCTAGGCAAAAAATAAGACTAATTACCATACGATAACCATGTAATGTTATAATGTAAAAAAAATTATGCAGCAGGATCGATGACTAAAGGTGAACGAACTGAAAATAGTAAAAATAGTGTGATTTATCGGTGTTTAAGTTGATATACTTACAACGACAAAAACACTAAATAATCAACATCGGATCATGATAAATAAAAGCAAGTAATTAATCAATTATTTTTATTTTTAATTACTTGTTTTTCAGATTTATTGTCGGTAAAGAATGATGAATGTAGTGTGCTTTTCCTAGGCTTCACTTGTTTACCCATATCTATTAAATGAATAGGAAAATAGCAAATCAATAGTTATGTATATTACATAATATCTAATAAATTTACAATTTTGTACACTTGAACTGGTGATTCACAAAACAGACTATATTGAAGTGGCATTTTTATAGAATTGTATTGTTTATACCTAATCTATCCTATTACTAGTGATACTAATAATATTTCAAGCACACATTCAGAACTACTAGGAAAAAAATCGTGTATAACTAATATCAACCAGTGTTACATGGGCTCTGTGACTACACTCTCAGCCCGCCAAAACCGTTGCCAATTCAGTTTATTGTTGTGATTCCACTAAAAGAAATATCCTTCCACGATGTGAACAAATAAAGTGTGACATTTACTCACACACCATCAACAGCACTAGAGATTATCTCAACAGTATATCATTAGGTTTCACAAAACCAATATGATCAAAAGCCGAATGCATAACTTTACTTGGTAAATGCATTAAATGATGACGATGGCTTTTAATAAATTATTAAATTGACCTGAAAGAGACGTTTATGCTATTTACATATATAGTCCCCATCTGATATCTTCAAAAATACATGAACACGCTCTTAATTTGTTTAGCTACACGATCACGGTTTATCACTAAAGAAAATTTAAGTTTAAACTACAACCTTATTAGAAAAAATCAATAAAAGAAATCTGCCATACACCATTATTATTATTATTATTAATATAGTATTTTTAACATGATGATACACAACTCTGAATTCATTGGTATCTCTAGGACCAATTATTCTTAATTTTGATTGGTTTTTTAAGATTTAATGCACTACTTGTACCTTAGCTGAATATTTAATAGCAAATGACGGGTTAATTCCTTAATGTTATTCAATAAGAAATACCCCTTATATGTAGGTAAGTGGACTTAGTGGTTGGTGATGTTTGACTTTCAACCACTGTGTAACAAGTGTGAATAGAGTTGCAGATACGTCGGCCTAAACAACCACACAATATCCACTAGCTCTAGCACATCTACACACACAAAACATGGTTGAAAGTAAGGAACAGGAATATATCTTTAGTGAATGAATTACTCCATAAGTGGTTTTCTTATCTGAAATATGTTTGATTTCGAGCCAAAGAATTGGATCCCATGAGTCCAATACAAGTTGAACTACTTTAACCGTTTGGTCAATATTTTACCAAACTAATAGAATCACCAATGCGATTGTGAATGATAAATATTTACACGGTTTAAACCAATTCATAATCAAGTTCATTAGTTAATTTGAAACTCCAATTTTAAATCATCACTTACCTTTTAATTCAACATTAAGGTCATTTGTTACAGAATCATATGAAATTGTTATAGGTTGAGTATTATGCTGGAAAAATATGAGCAATTAAAAGATAAATTCACTTTTCAGAAAAAGCAAAGTTAAACAAAAGAATTAAATATTTGAAAAATATTTACTGAAATATTGAAATACAAAACAATGAAATAAAGAGAGATAAAAGACAACTTACTTTTGATTCAACTCCTGTTGAAATATTTAGTGATGAAGAATAGTGAGAGGTTGGATTGTCCAAGGAAGTTTCTTTATTCATTATTACTGAATTATTCTTTGTTTCTAATAGGATTTTTTTTATTGCAAGAAGAGAATGGAACAAAATAATATAGAAACAATAAAGCAGTTGGTATAAACAAGATATTTTAAAAGCTAGTTGATAGCCTAGGTTGACGAGAGTTGATGCTTCGTATTAGGATTAAAATAAAAGTTTTGATGGGTTATACAAACTCTAATAACAAGTTAATATGTTCGGTATGTGTTTAGTCGTGGAACACAAGATCCCTGTTTGGTTTTATTTGGAACTCGTCAAGTGAATGTATCTGCACACGACTGTTGATATTCATACACTAAGACTCGCTTCAAATGCACTAACTTGTTCAACGGATATTAGGATATTAGTGATAGTGAATGGTTTCCCGTCGTTGATAATAAGAACTACAAGTGATCGGTCTCTACGGCTGTATCTGCATCCTGAAAATGTTATATCAAAAGTGATAACTAATTATTCAAATTCTAACACAATTCACGTTGATGTTTTTGTACATTGATCCATAATAAATTAGTGTGCCGTTCTGAATCAAGAATATACATTGATGAAGATCATTGACTATTGTTCATAAAGAGAAAATTTTGATTTTATCTGAAAACAATGCAAGGTTTATAATCAAGCTATCTAGCCCACAAAATTTAATATCAGAACAATACAAAGCGGCACGAAGATTAATACTAATGCTAGTCAGTCAATTATAATTGAAATAGAGCGATCGCTTAAATGATAATCTAAAGTTAACAAGAGGAATATAAAAAAGAGTATAAATGATTGTTACAAATACTCAACGACACAGAATGAAGTTTAATAACTATGAATAAAAATTATGAAATAACACTGAATATTAAGACCTGAAAGACGTTAAAGTATGAATGCATCTGTGCCACTGTGATCAATTTTAAAATTATTATAAAACATTTTAGATAAAATTAGATCAAGTTTGTAGAACTTCTTCAGTAAGGTGCTTAATAAAACTAGGTTGAGAAAAACCTTAGAATAATTAGAATCAATGAATGTTACCTAATCTCTAAAAGTTACTGATATATTGTTTTTTATAGGTTATAGAATACAATATAGTCTGAAGATTGAAATTAAAATGACCTAAATCAGCAGGTGTAAAACTTTATTTTAAAAAAGGAACTAGCCTCGAAACCAATCATAATAAATATTTATTTACAATAGTTATCGTAAAACATACCGACATTATTATCTTCTGGATTCTGCTTTATAGTTTCCGATGAACCAACCAATAGGACAGAACCGCATTTATATGTTTGCTGTATAATGGGAAAAGTTATAATTATGGCTGTTGTGCAACCGTAGGGCAAACGTAAAACTTAAAGAAGAAAAACTCATTCGGAAGTTTATCTCATTAATGTTAAACTAGACATTTGTAGTTGGCATAAGAAAACGGCTTTACCTAGACAACCGTTGAAGATCTAGAAACGGTGGACAGCTGTACGGTTTAATATGGGACTTGTCAATATTGAATGAATTGAAATTTTAAGATTTTATTTTTGTAAAATTCTTAGTTTAAAGTATGATTAAAGTAAACAGAAAACGATTCTAAAATTCCATTTTGGTTTTTATTCGTATAATCATAAAATGATGTGCAGTACTGAGACAAATACTGGCACGCGAACAATTTACGGTTATGTAGATAGGTATACCATTTCGTTCAGATAAAGAAATCATCACAAGATTAAGAGAATCAAAGACTATAAACTCAATTGGATTGTAGATCTAAGCTGTGTACGAACTAGTAAGCTCTTTAGATAATAAAACATCAAAAATACAATAATTACTCATTCTCAAATATAAACATACAATAAAACAGGGTTTGGATGAGACAGATGACAAAACATCATCAAACAAGCCTATAAACAAAAATATGTGCATACAGTTAGTGAGGTGCACTGATAAATATTAACTTATATGTGACGCTTTCAAAAAATACGAACACCAGTTGCCGATATTAATTATGATGCAACTGATTCACTTACATTTGAGTCAGTATCTCGTGAAATAGATATAGAACGTTTTCCACGTTTGCTTAATGTAACTTCCTTATCAATCATCGTGGTGCTTTGTGCTAAACACAAAAAATAGCATAAGAAATAATTGACAAACTAAAATAAATGAGATACCAACAAAACAACTAATAGGTTCAAAGTATTTACTGATAAATATTTTGATTCAGACGGTTTAGTGAAGATACCATAGTAATTAGAATGTAAGTTTAAAAACAAAATGATGTCAGTTGAAATATTGTTGTGAACCAGGAAGTTAAAAAACGTTAATCTTTCGGATAAGCTATACCACCATCATTACTTTGTTTTGTGATTCGAGGACATTGTCTTTATTGAGATATTCAGAGGCAGTAGGCTCATGCATTACGGTGGCACATTTATGAACAGTCATAAACTAAAAAAAGTTTAATAGTATTTGGTTTTCCATAATTTTACTGGATAAATCAATTCTCCCAGCATGATTTTTATTCAGTATTACTGGTGCTTTTAATTCAAATTTAAACTTAAATTACTTCACAACGTACTTGGTTATGAGCCATACTCTAAGTATGAAGGCTAACGATACTAACAGGTTGACAAAGATGAAATAGAAAGTCAGAGCTCGAACCTGCAGCTTAAAAACCGAAAGTGGGACTCCTTAATTACTAAAAACACTACTTCACAAATCGAAAACCTGGAAGAGTCGGACATTTGTCTTTTTCGAATGTGAGACTCCTCAACAGTTCTAATCCACGAGCTTACTATTAAGTATCAAACTCAAGAGCTTTGGTCTCTCACTCAAACCCTTAAGTCCTAGATGACTGAGGTGTTTTTAACTCAGTCTGATATTTTGATTTTGTTTCAATGTTACGTCAATTCAAGACAATATTCTTCCGATTAGTTTTGTGTGAAATTCGTTCCGTATGAAACGAATTATGGGGCTTTGTAGTGGGTTTATGTATTGGTTCCATTTACCATGTTATCTAACCAATCAAATATGAGTGAACTCAATATATTAAAGTGGTTGTATTTTTGAATCGTAAATTACAGGTTTAGATTTGCAAATGAATTAAAAATACATTGCTCCATAGAGGCCATTAAACTAAAGTGGCAAACTAATTTGAATAAAAATTAAAAGAAAGAAAACTGTTTAAGAACTATTTAACTTTTTGCGGAGTGACAGCATAGTGAATAAAGTTACATTTCTTTTTATTGAAATAATTGAATAGTATCAATTGTCAGTTGCAACATATTTAGCTCATTGTGATGTGCATAAACCTATAATTAGTTAATGAATCACATTGAAACTATTTAAAAATCAATAATCATCATAACACGATGAGTCTGAATTAGGTAGGTTTATGAGGATTCAATTCGGCAGTGAGTTATATTGTGAAGTAACATGTTAGTAGAGATAAGTCTTCATCGATTGATATATATACTGGATAATACAGCATCAGGAATTGACTAAAGTTGTAAATAACCATCATATGATTTCAAATAAATGACCTAAGAAAACATTATGCTTACTATAAAACGCAAAGATCTAAGATTCAAGTTCGTGTGACGCTAATCGTGCGCATTACTGAGCATTCTTAAACTCAAAGCGATTCACAAGGCAGTACGATGAACAGCCTTATATCAGCTCAAACTTCAAATCTAGACTATCAACATATTTCTCCCATTACTTAATCTATACATTTTCTAAAAATGTTCAATTTTTCTTTTTTTGATATGCTAAACTGTTAGTATTTTATATTGCTTCGTAGACTGACCATAAATAGACAACCAACGGAAACTAAGACCTACTGGTATCGAACTCCTCTGAAGTGCACATCCATGATCACATTAAAGACTGGACTCATGACCTCCAGGTGGTATTAGTAGTAGTAGAGAAAAACAGATATATACTGCTACCTGGTATTCAGTGCTTGTCAAACTAAAGCTAACCAATTCAACAATTTTCATAAACCTCCTATACTAAACTGTTTTCCAGCCTAAACGCTTTGTTCAACTGTACCAAAAGAACAAGTTAAATGAATCGCCCAATAGAAGCAAATACAACCATAAACACTGATCTATATGAATTAAACAAAATCTTACAATTAACATGTTCTTTATGTGTTGGTTCCAACTCTTCGCATTTCATCATCTAAAATAAAGGAAACTATTTCTATGAATGCAGTTATAGTATTTATTCGAAGCAATTCAAATGAATACTATCACCATTCGAATTGAACAAATAATGAATATTACACACACATTATTTATAGTACTAATCTTGACAATTATAAGTGTAATGACATAATCAGTTTCAATGTGATATAAGTCGTTATCAATAGGATATATAGTTACGCGCTAGCCAGTATTGTCTAATACACTATTACTAGTTCATGTGTTTGGTTGTGGTTGTTTTCTCATTAAAACAAATCTAGTAAGTCATAAACACAAACGTTAATAGTAATTCACCCTAATCTGTTTATGATTACAACCACTAATTATTAAATGTAAATACCGGTTTTTAATCATTTCTCTGATACCTAGTAACCGGATTTGTTGTCTCTATAAAATATATTTAAATGTAAAAGGTAACTTAAATTATTTATGGGAAAACGTTTTTTATCATTGAATAATAAATAGTTAATGTTTGTGAAGCATGTGATCTGTATATGAATGGATATAGTCATGTATCAAAAAAGGTTGATAATCTTTATCAAATGATTAAGCTCATAATTAAATAACAGAATTGCATATTCTGTCACTGGGATCGAAAATATTTTTACATATACAAGACCATAATCACTAGTTCAATAGTTTTTAAGATGCGAATAAATTTACGACAAGAATACTGGAGATAATCTGGATATTAAATACAGACTAGTCTCATATAAAGTCATTTCTGTAACAGGTTTACATCAAATACGTATTCATTAAGGAATGGAGAAAAATGAAGGGTTATTTCATCTTTTTAAAGTACTCTGTAGCATCACGCAACCAAAACGACCACAAAACAGTCATTTTTTAGTATATTTGGTATGTGGAAACAAGTAGAATTCATGATGTGTATTTTGTTTTATTTGGGAAACAGTAATTAGATGTATCTACATCGCAGGCGCTCGTGTTCATACTGATTTTTGAACGTAATAATTCCTAATCAGACGTCAAAATGATAGCTACTGAGTTCAGATACCTAATGAACATAACGTTATATCCAGGGAATCAGATAAGGTCTCATTTGTAACGATAAAGACCTATTAGTTGTGGAATTGAAAATATGATAATAGGAAATTATAAACTCTTAATAACGAGAGATCTTCAGATTCATTAGGCCATTCGCTAAACATCTAATGGTTCACACACTCAACTCCTATGAATGAGATAGAGAGCAAATAATGTCCACGTAATATATGATGTCTGCTTTATTACCCAAAAATATATGTTAATATAAACCCACAATTCAAAACTCGTTGATGTATGAAGGTTTATAGTTAACTGTCTACTCATACACCTATATCCAATAATGTTAATACCAGGATGGACAAATAACATTTGATTCCTTTCAACAAAATGAGCAACAAGAAAAATAAATTCCTGTTTTCAGCTTCTATCATATAATTATTCACAGATAAACTACTAAATTGACAGTAAGTAGATGATGGATCTTATTACACGAAAAATGTTATATTTTGGAAAGCCTCGAGTGAAAAATTTAAAATATTTATGACACATTCCATATCAAATGAATGTTATTTGTTCATTTTCAACTATCGATTATTAAAACAGGTAATCAACTCCACTGAATTAAAATACTTTGGCATGTAAATAGAAATGTTATTCATCAGCTTGATCAGCATACTGAACTTAACTTATCCAACAGTAAATTTAAAATTGTTTAATCGAAGGAATCGGTGAATTTTACTTTCAACAAATATATTAAATCGAAATTCAACACCTCTTGAAATCACTTACAGTTGATTTCAAACTTTCAGATTTTTCACATTGAATTGTAGAATCATCATCCACTTTCAACGTGGAAACTGACCCAACTTTATACATGGTATTATTTTTATTTGATGACACACTTATGGAAGCTATAAATAATGAAGAGTTTCAATGCATAAAACAAAAAATAGAAATATTTCCCAAATTCATTAGAAAACAAAACATGAATAACACCTCAAAAGTTTAGGGTTTTAGGTGAAATTGACAAACCAGTTTATGAAAGTGAAACCACTACAACATATTTTTTATGAATATTTAACCATTTTTTACACTTATATGTTGATTGATATGAGAGTAAGTTGAAAAAAATCTAGGCAGCCGTCAGATCAAGATATAGCATTACTTTATGAAGCCATTTATCGTTTAAATGGTCTATACTAGGAACTGTAATCATCCTGAATGAAATGTCACAATTTAATTGTAAGCTTCAGTTGAAGATCATATGTTACATGCCATAAATAGTGCACAGTAGAGGTTAATTTGACTTCTAAGTTTTGTTTATTCTTCATCATTAATTACTATTTACTATAACATGAATTCATTTCTCAATTTCTTGATTAAAATCGTTACCTTTCATGTGGATTTTATGTTGTTTATAGATGAGTTGGTGAGTCATTATTAACGAAGAGCATGGTACAGATGTACAACAGCCCAAGTTATATCATATAAACCAGATAAAACAAAATTAATAGAATGATTAGCAAAAATATCGAAACAACGAGGTAACAACGATAATAAGAACTACTGAACATTGAAAATATGGTTCAAAAACACAGAGTCACTGTTTAGAGGAAGATAAAGAGTGAATGTTCATGCACTACTGTGGTTTATTCTAACCCTTATCATTCAAAGTCTCCATCCATTGATCATGGTTATCAAGAGAACCTCAACCGGAGATTCTGTATCATCCAGTATGGCTCAGAACAAATGTTAATGACTTCATGGCTGATATCGCTCATTGCATTTCCTAACCACCTTAAGTCAACGAAGACTTGTAACTTTAGCAAATAAAATTCCTACCTTTACCTAAGTACACTGGGTCTAACATTAATATTGCTTACAAGGTTGTCCCATAAAACACAAACAATCGTTCAAAGACGTCTATGAGTGAGTTAAATGTGAGTTAGAAAAATCCATAAGATAAAACTAATTATATGTACATGGTTTGTATTTTTGTTTTACTGATATACAACGGATACATTTTGATCATTGCATTTCGTGTAATTTGATAGCTATTAAAAATCAATAGCTTAATAAATAATGTACTTGCATCTGGAGTAATGAAAACTTAATTCAATATGCATATACAGTAGGATCCCAGTGTGTTCAGCTGATGAATAATATAATATAGGACGAAATGCACATAATGTGATTCAGTGTAGATCATTATCAAACAACTTAATAAATTAAATAATTCATTGAGAAATTGTATTAACAATATTACAATTTTTAAGAGATAAAAACGTTTTACTGCTACATAATTAAATTAACAACGTTGATTAAGTAGTGAGTGGATAGAATTTGCTATCTAAATACTTGAAATATTTACACTAAAGAATAATCACAGCATTTCTAGTTAAATATTACTCAAAACAATCATTTTCGTTCATGAAAACATTCATTATATTCGGAGATTTTAGGTAATGTGGTTCAAAATCGACCACACTGACGCAGATACATTCACTTTATCTGACTCAAGAAAGTGAATATCCGTATTACTTCACATACACTTTCCTACTCTGCCTTTTTAAACCGTATTCTCAATGTTAAGTAGTTTCTTTTATCGTTGTCACTACATTATTTTGATGCTTATGTTAATCATCTAATTAGTTTTGTCTCATCGTGTGAATATATTATGACAACGTGAGACAACGTATGTTCCAGACACTACATTGATTGCAACATAAATTTTTTTCTTACCATTGGTCCATAATTATGCAGAACTGATAGTTCTATCGTTAGAAAACTAAACTTTCAACAAGTGAACTAACAGTTCAAAATTCTGCTCTACCTATTTCCAAGAGGATAGTGTTGATCAAAGTGATATCGAGCAGTAATATCGACAACAAATTTCTACCAATATAGTGTTCATTCATAGAGTGCATGCCAAAAAGCAGAAAACTCACAATGGAAAAACTATTTCTGACAAAATTTTGTTCACTCTAAAAATTTTCATGAAATTTGGATTTATGATGTAAAATACTATTTGAAAAAGGTTCGATATAATTCGCTTTTACATTCGAAGTTGTTTTCTAGATAACAGTAATCAAGAGTACATAATTTATTGCACTGGGTATTGAAACATATTCATTATATTTAGGCTAAAGTACGACTTAAACAAGGTAAGGTTGAAGTTTTAATCTGCGGTTACCTAGTTTAATGAGATTCAAATGTGCACATCATTGACGTATATTTTTACACAGCTGGATATACAAAATTATATCTAGAGAAAAAACATTTACCAGAGCATATTATAAACGAAACAATTGTTAATGTGTGAATATGAAATTCGTATTAAAACATTAGACAATATAAATCTTACCGTTTATATGCTTTTCATTTATTTCAACGTCACATGCACGTTCCTCAGCATTTGTGTACTTTGGTACAATATAAGGATTGATTTTATCTTCTTTCTGTAAATTGCATCGTAATAAAAATGTAACCAGTTAGAAAACGAATTGAACTTATAAGCAAAATTAAAACTTACTAGTGTAACCACTATTGCCCATATATGGAATATATCCAAAGAATAGACTATAACACTTATTGATTACTGTGAAGTAACCGATGTTACGCTTGTCTAATAACTAGAGTTGGCAGAATTCTATAGATGTAGTTACGTTGTGATCATAAGTTTAAATGACTTCATAACATGATGGTTAAATGAAAATCAACAGGAATTTTATAACTTAGCTTCCATAATACCTGCCATTCATCAACTGTGTACATCTGTAATCTTGGGGAAATGATGCTCATTGTGAGGTTCGGACCCATAAGACTTAATATTACGATCAAAAATATTATCACGGAGCTTTGTACACCATGAATGAAGACCTGTACAACTAAGATATGTACAATTAATCAACGACTGATATCAATGTTTGTCTAATTTTTTCATGCTGATTGAATTGTATTGATCATGTTATAATGTCTCCATTAGCCAAATAACTTGGCCACTATATATTATTATACATTCACACTAATGACTATGAATAGAAACTGACAACAATCAATACCGTCTGATTTCAATATTAAGTTGTAAAATATAAAACGTAACTATAAGGATTAAATAATTTAATAACAAAATCTTAACAAACATAAATGATCGACCATCTCATTCTTAGTAGTGATAGCAATTAGTTTATCGAGTAACATAAAATTATTGACCTAATTCGTTATTATAATTATTATTTAATTCATCTTGATTTTAAGATAAGAAAGAAAAATTACAAAATTCTCAACAACAAAAAAAGACTGTTTTGCTCCTTTCATTTTTATTGTCACAGAGATAGAAAAGGAATTAATTAATTGCTTAGTTTTTCTCCAAATTTTAAAGACAATATATACAGTTCTTCTTACCTATTGATAACTACTCCAGGCACAAATGACCTTAATGAATTGATATCATCATTATTTAGATATTACCAAAACTATTACTTATATATATATAGAATATAGGGCGACAATATTGTTTCCAGATAATTAAATTTTACACGAAACGTTAGACACAAGTCTATTGGGTAATCACTATATATATATATATATATATATATATATATATATATATATATATATATATATATATATATATATATATATATACTGCTTCGAAATCCACAATGAATAGTTCCTTATGACTTACTATAAAACATCAATTTGTTAAAATACTTGACGAAAAATCTCACTAAACAAAAGCTTATATATTTATATATATAAATTATGAATAACACAACTTTAAAAAAAGTATGGCGATTTATTGATACACCATATGATACTTTAATGGATTGCGATGCATATTACAGTGGTGACCCAAATGCTAGTTTAGCATTGTGTGTAACTTCAAGTATGGTTGGTGCAATTTCTATTTATATTCTACCATTTATTTGTATATTCGGTATCATTACAAATATTTATATTGGTTATGTATTTTTATATGAATTTAAGAAATTAAGTCGACAATCAATTTATATGTCACTTATATGTTGGTCTGATGCAATTACTATACTATTTCTTGGTATTTTATGGATGATACCAGCAAAAGGTTTACCATTTGTTAGTGAAGGACGTATATATTATTTTATCATTTATGAATCTGTTGAATTATGTCGATTCTATCGTGGTATCTATTCATTGACATCAACATTAGCAAGTAATTTATTATTATTAACTAGTATAGATCGCTGTTTATGTATATATTATCCATTAAAATATCGTACAATACCTGTATATTATGCATGGTATTTGATTGGTGGAGTTAGTTTCATTTCATTCTTATGTGTTTTACCTGTTATAATACTAGTTGATTTTCATGATATTGGCCCATTTACAACATGTTGGTTACATGAAAGTCAAGCATTTTTGCAAATATTTATTATATTATTTAATAATGCTGGTTTTATACAAACAATAGTTATACTTGTATTGAATATCATATTTATGATAAAAATGCGTAAAACATTTACCAAAGAACGTTTAGCTGATCCACAATCGATTGAAAGTAAAGAATGGTCAGCTAGTGTAATTTTATTCATTTTGGCAACAACATTATTATTGTTTAGTTTACCACAATGTGCTGCATATTTAGCTGCTTTCTTTTTTCCATCTGTGATGGAGAAATCACAATCGGAACAATCAGTACGTTTAGCTTATAATATTGCCGATATAGCATGGCAGTGTATATTTGTACAGAATGCTTCAGCAATATTTGTTTGTTGGCAAAGAATGCAGGAATTTCGACAAGTGTTTTATCGATTATTCTTGAAAGGACCATTGCAACCACTTAAAAAGTATTTAAACGAAGCACAATCCACTATACACTAATTAAATATCCTCTTAAATAAATTCTCATATTGTATGTATAGTTATACTTGTGGTAAGACGTTAAACCTTACATGAAGTACTGGTTTGAAGGATGAGGTAGTTAAAAGTTTGACCTTTCAATCAGTTGGTCACAGGTTTGAGCACCCCTTCAATTAATTTGGTTTAAAAGATCGGGTAGTATCATTGACCCACATGCAATAATAATCGTTTATGGTCGACTACATGAATGAATACTTAGTAAATGAGTCGGATTATTAAAATACGCAATAGTGATGGTATATTTTAAACACGAAATATGCTCAGTTAAATTCACAGTTTGTTTAATATATTCAACAAATAAAATACAATCAAGCTCATTTTTTAAGAGTGTATACACATTTAATAAAACAACATAATACGATGGAGAAAATAGTAATCAACTACAAAAACCAAACTAACAATAGAAACTAATGTAAATGTTTGTTCTATTTCTTAGTGAACTTTCAACCAATTTTAATGCATCTTAGCTTGTTGTTTATTTCAATACCTTTTAATTTTTGTATGTATTTTGAAATTACGCGTAAAAATGTGTTAACTTCAAATAAATACACTGTTTTTATTTAATGGCTTTTTAGTTACCTACTTATGAACAATTAAGCATATAAGTTTAGAAATCAAACATTTAAACGTATAAGTATTCATGTAATTTACAGGTTGATGGTCGTAATTCATTAATAGAGACTGGGGAATTATTGAGAATAAACGAGCGATGAATAAAAATGCCATTTTAGACTTACGACTGATCCAATCATAAAATACTACATGGAATCGAAACTATAAAATTTGGGCATTAATGTGACCGGGATAAATTGAAGCCAAAGTCTCTGGGATTATTTACTTTTATATGAAATGTTCACAGATTTATTTGCTTAGTTTTGGATCATATTTTTTGATGTGATGGCTAGTGATATAGTCCAGCTGTCTAAACGGAATTAGTTGGCGATGAAATCCATACAGAGGCGTTTGGTCAGTAAACTGTCACTGAAGGAGATTCACTTTTAGCTACATTCAATGGTTACGACTACATTTGATTGGTGGGCGTTTTTCTCACATCTATCCAGTTAACTTCACAGTTCATGAGCTTCATCTTCATACAGTGACTGTGAAATCTAACCTGAAGTTTGGTATCATTGAGTATATGGTTATTAACATAAGTTTCAACTATTTTATAAGTACCACTGATGAAAATGGTTTTTTTTTAAAACTGTTACATTTGCTTAACAACAGTCTCTCATTTTTAACACTTTTGAAATCATTGGCAATTCAGTAGTATAAATAACAACAAGACTTCCTGACTATTTGTAAGAGCACTGTTAATATATTTTCATTGCCTATAAATTTATGCATTGATACAGTACTTTTCAATATGTCAAGATCATCCTAAAATCATTAAATTACAACTGGAAATGCAACTATATCATGATAGAGTGAGAGAGTAATCGCTTTGCAATCTACGATGCGTTATTTCTGTACAGTAAAAAAGTTCCTAAAATTTATAAATTTATGAGTAGGTTAAAATTAATTTCAAAGTTTCTGTCTGAAATAAGAATTAAGTCCTTAAAATGAATTCAATGAAATTCGTTTCGGTTTTGAAATATAAGTAAATAAACCACATTTAGAGTTATCTGTCTAATAAACACATAATTTACTGATTGACAGTAGAATCCGTTAAGCACTGGGTCGAACGTGTGACACAGCAAAATACACTTTGGTATGATTTCACTGACTAATAGTTTTCAAAAAATGAAACCCGTTAGGGCTCATCGTGTTTATGCCACACTCATTATTTAGGCAAATCTATTACTTCTGTAGTTAAATATTCACAAATCATTGACCGCGCTATGATTTCAACACTTTTATAACGACATACATAGGAAAACAGAGAGACATCTATTTGCAGCTTTAATTGTTGACAATACATTTAACATAATGAAGCACTTACATTTTTTAAAATCTTGATAGTTTATTTGATTACTTTGAATGTTTTGGTTTGTGTTTAACTGAATTAGTGCAATATGAAAACAAAGTTAATCTGAACTATGAGATAAATATTAGATTGATTACATTTGCTTAAGAATACTACTGAAAATGAAATGAAGCTATTCAACGAAATATTTGTATAGAAAAGATATTTGTTGAAATTAAGAAAAAGAAAGAAAAATTGGAAAGGATGTACACTTTTAGTTTTCTATTATTGAGATATAAGTCGATTAGCCATATGTTGAAATGGGAACTTTAATACGGCGATCAGTTAAACATAAAATATTACTGAGCTTATTAACTCTACTATAATTATCATGATTATTATTATTATTAATGAAAAGAGTATGTTTATGCTTCACCAAAACGTCAGACACCATTATACAACACAGCTTACCAATTTACCGGTATGTACATACATACAGATGGGATATTATTCTTAACTTGCAAATAAATAAGTGATAACATGGTTACGAAATAAAATAAATCCCAATAGTTCAATATGAGACGAGTGTAAACGGGTTTATTGACTCCTTAACAATATTAATTATAAACAGTATTGTAGATAACAACGTCTCCTATAATTATGTTTCAGTATTCTCATGCTCTCAATAGTTTAGAGGTCTTTTATTTTTTATCTAAATATCTGAACAAATTGGTACGTTATTAGACTGGATTACTAGAAATGTAATCAAATGATGTAAATCACATTAATATTCTGATAAACTTCACCATCTCATTACATATTATCTAAATGAATAACCAAAGGAATTAATTGTTTTAAACAAGAATATTTCATATCTATATATTTTCTTTTATTATGAATGGAAAAAACAAATTTATTTAAAATGAACTTACTATCACAACTTGTTGTTCATTGCAACAGTCAATAATAAATGATTTACAATCGGGTTGAACATGGATCAATTCTTGGTCAATGGATAGTTCAGGAGAATAAGATAGTCGATGAATAAGTTGTGGAATGATAAAAGTTCGAAGATATATCTTTATGATGATGATGATAATAATAATGGAAATTGTAAACCAGAAAAAAGGAAGTATTTAATGATTAAATGCGGTAAAACGCAGATGATAAATACATGAAACAATAATAAGAAAAAAAACATAAAAAGCTAAATAACAACAACTCATATAGTTTTACGATAAGATAATTACGAAACAGTTATTAGTAGTTATCAAAAACAACATCGCCTTAGAAAACAACTAAACATAAGTTCTTGATTAAACATTAGGAATAGGTTTAGTGATAGAATCATTCAGCTTCTAACCAGTAGGTCAGAAAATCTGGACATCTCTTCCTCTGCTTTATTTTAGACAACTCAATAATATTAGTAGGGTTAAACAAATAAGGTATGACTTAAAGGTGAGTGGTCGGCAAATAGGTTACGTTATTATTTATTCATTATTCCCAATGATTAATATAACTGATAAACTTTTGTAAATGGATGAATAACAAACATTATCAGTTGGAATGTCTTTATTCCGTTTTTTCTTGTTTTAAAATTCTTACACATTCAATTATTCTAGAGGTTAGATATGAGAAACACGAATTGTGTCATTTATTGTAATCCCAAATACTTTTTTATTAATATTAGGTCGTTTCAATAAAGTCTTGAAGTATTACTGCTACTAATATTACTAATCTTATCACTACAATAACTATGATTACTTTGCTATACTTTAGTACTTCTGAGACATTACCGCTGAGCTATTTGTGCCTCAACTATATATATAATACAAAACCAACAAAAAGATGATTGATTAATTACGTTGAAAAAGAAGCGAATGTTTTTTTCGCTAAATTCATGTGACTTTTATTTAACAATACAATGGGTTACTTTAACTATTAGAAGTACCTTTATTTAAGGCACAAGATTTACACTCAAAACTAAAAAAATCTAATGATTCCAATTTCAGTGGAACCATTATAACAATATTTCAAACGGATTTGAACTGAATAAATAAAATATAACTGTTGATAAGCTCAGTTTAAACATGACTGTTAAATTGAACTTAAAAACAAATACATTAAGTCAAATTATCCATATTTGTGGATTACGGCTTCCAGTGTTGACAAGGGTATCGAGATATTTAGTTTTTAGGACAGAAATAAACTAAAAAGTACTGTCATCAGTATTATAAATAATAATTAATATTTCCTGCCTTACACTGAGTCACGAAATGTCAGAAAACATAATTTTTATACTTATTAGGATATTAAAATTATATTATTTTTATTAGTAATCATCAATCGAACGTTCAATCTATTAAAAGTTATCAAGCCAAACCATCTGTATTGATATCTATAAACAATAATTATTATAAACTTATCGAAGTCACGGACCCACTTTAATTATAATCTCGACATCTGACTGACTACTTTTCTGAAACTGAATAATACTGATCGATTACCGCTGGTACAATAGAAACTAATAGACCTGAATAACTCTATCCTATTGAATGTCATGAAATAGGAAACATAAAGAGTTGTAATGTAAACATCTACTGCATTGAAAGTAATGTAAATAAATAAGACATCAATCACTGGAAAGTGAACCCGCCTAAACGTTTATAGAATCGATTTCGAACCAAGCATTTTTGTCCGAAGATTAATGGTAGTAATCAAGTTGATACTTTGAGATTCGTTCAAGGTGATTAGCATGGATTCAGACTCTAATCTGCTAAAATTTATTGCAGACATATTAATCAAACACCACAAACTTGATTTCTGTTCGAAAATGAACAGTAATTACATTGTTCTTATCTTATTGTTGTATTTTTTCGAGCTCTTTTTCTTACTTCAATCACATTATTTTTAATTGTTTCAAATTCATAATTTCATTCTTAACTGATTGATCTCAACTCTTGTTATCATTAAATTGTATTAAGCTGTTCTATTGTGTAATCGGTCAAATTTTTGTTTGGAATCTTGTCTTTACAAAATTTAATTAACATAAATTGAATCTTCAATGAGTGACGTATCAGATTTTAATGCTAAACAACTTTGTTTGTACGAGTTTGTTAACCTTTGTGTATGATTTCAATTTTTTAAAAGCTGATGAGGAACTAACAAACTGAAATGAATTCATGTTATTCTGGTTAGGTTGTTCTCTTCAATATTATAAAGGGAGTTATGAAAATGAAAGAAATACTTGTTCTAAAATGAAGAAGTCCTAGTAAAAAAATGCTATTAGTTGAGTTCGTGAGTCTATCTAAGCTACGCCACCATTAAAAGCATGGAAGCACTGAGCAGACGTGCTTCTAGGTTTTCAACGGTAATGTAGCTTACATAGACTCATGAATTCAGCCATTAACATTACTAAAATCTCTACAAATCCCCATTCCGATAAAAAAGTGCCAACTAAATAGTTATTCTGATAGTTATTATGAGTTACCTTCTATCCACATGAATGACCTGGATAGTTTATGGGTCATAAACCATATGACTGATTTTAGTATAATCACTGTCCAATATTTTACAATAATGATTAGTCTCAAAAATACAGAAAAATTTAAATGTCCTTTTACAAATGTTAGCAAGTAATATTGTAGTGAAGGAGAACACAGGTGAGGACAACCGAATTATATTTAGCACAAAATTACAGAGTTACTTGGTAAAATAGAAAGACCATACTATAATACCTAATTTACAAAATACTCAATAATTGTCTCGAACTTCATTGTTCTTGCATCTCTATACTAATCGCTTTCTATTCCCGTTCTTCCTTTCTTGATCTTCCCAATCTTCTGCTGCCAAATATTACATTCCTGACTCGAGTTATATACTACTTATGTCAATCTAAGTAGAACGCACCACAATATCACGTGGTGTAAATTAAACAACAAAAGCATGGGTGACCTTAACTTGATAACAATGGGAAGACACAAAACAAAAACAATCAAAACTTACATTATTACTACCAAGTTGAAATGTTTCTGGTGAATAATGAAGTGAATTCAGAATTTCATGAACAATCTTTAATGTCGAGAAAAATAATAAAAAGAAACTAATGATCAACAATGTTCTATGTAGTGTTGTATTCATGAAAATGGAAATTGATGAACCTATAAGATTATAGAAAGCTTGTTCATTAATTATAGAAAATATTACAGAACTACTACAATTTTTAAACTTATAAATATTTTTAAAGTTGATTTATTTGCAGCTATTTTCTTCAGAAAAAAAACGAATCAGTTTATCAGTATCCCTTTTAAGAGTTGATCAAGTTAGTCTCTATTCTTTAAATCACTTCATATTTATCAATTTTAAATAGCTCAATAATAAAATATGAGCAAGCTTTATTTATATCCCTTTCATTTTCAGTATGACACAGGCTAACTGTCAATGCATCTTGTACTAAGCATAAAAATGCAATAACCAATATCTGGTTGATTCGTCAGTACCACATAATGTAATCAACTTTCGTTTGTTAGAATTATTATATTTCACAAAGCCAATATGGAAAACATATCACAGAAACTTGAAACACCAAAAAAGATGTTAAAAAAAATTCAGTGGTATAGAACGGTCTGAATTTTGAATCATGTTGCATTCGTTGTGATGTAGAGCAGTATATTTATGTTTATTGCCTAAAACGCACAGGAATTTACGTTCGCTAACAACAACTGCAAACACTAGTATCTTCAGTATAGAAATACTTCATAATTTTGAAAGAGGGCATGCAAGTAGCTATTTTATCAATATGATTTTTTATTGTTGAAAATAATTAGTGAAAATCTAATCTCTAACTAGTGAACATCCATAACAAGACAGTGTTTAATAAAACAGTATGATAAATAATTATCAGAAGGTCACTTGAACAAAGAAGTTGAATAAACAATTAGCCGGTAGAATCAAACGCTGAATTTAAATTGAGCATCAGAAGAGAATTATCGAGAGAAATGTAATTAAATAGATATTAAGATTGTACTGTAGTATCACATATCAAGCAAGACTATAACGGAACAATGAGTTTATAAATAATTTAACAAGATAATAGAATTATCAACACAGAAAAAAAAAGAAGAAAATGAATGAGAAATACATTTGTTTGTGCAATTTAACACTTACGGCTTTATTCGATGATTCATTCTGTTTTAATTCTCTTATTTTCGAACTATTTGGTAGTAATGAAACAAATCGATTACAAAATTCTTTCAGAGATAATCTATCCGGATAACTTTGTTTAACCGCTTGTAGAGTATTAATTAATTCAATACCACGAATTTGTGCACGTATTAGATTGACACATATACGTGCTGGACTAAATACTAAATTTTTATTTGGATAACGTTTCATTAATTCAGATAAATATGAGTTGGATGTATTATGATTAATGTCCTCATTATTAGTATGATTGTCGTTATTTACAAGACGATCATTAGAGGGATAATTTGTTTGCATCAATTGACTAAGAGGTATTTCTTCATTTAATTCACATAGACCAGCTGTAGATACAGGTAAAAAACAATGAATCCAATGCATACCACTTGGTGGACCACCGTCATTAAAACCGGATCCAGGATCATTTGGATTATATGAAGCATTATGTGCAGCACAGTCATATAAAGAACGTGTTAATGTATCCTAAAAAGAAAAAAAAACATTAACGAAGAACTTTTTCAACATAAAATTATTTGAAGAAATATCTTGATGAAATAACTTCAAAGTCCAATTAAATAACAAAAAAAATCATCACAATGGTTTTAAGATTATAAGTGTGTTTTTTCACAATCCTTTCATAATATCTTATTTCAAATATTGATTAGAATATAAATGCACAGTTATGACAAAAAGACAAGACAGAGTATTTACTTATATAGGGAAACACAAAATACAAAAATTATAATTGAAATAATTTCGATTTTCAACTAGTCAATTTGGTGAGACCGTAATTTATAGACAATCTATGAGCAAGGCTAAAGTGATCTTGAGAATGTCCACGTACTACTTAGTTTTAAATGAGGGTATTAAGGGCGGCCTGCTTGAGCATTTGAGCGCCTGTTCCTGCCATCTAGATATTTCAACAAGTTATCTATTTTTGTTTGTTTTAATGTATCGTTACGTCTATTAATCGCATAACCTATTCTGATGCGTTTCTGAAAAGTGCAAAACCTTTCGTTGTCAAAGTTACAAGAAACTCAATAAGAGACAATGTGGTTGCTGGCAATATACAACGAAAAGAATGCACATTATTCAGATGTTCATTTACTGGACTGTTAACATCTAACTGGCGATCACTCAATATTTATCGCCAGGACCGACCAAGAAGAAAGAAACGGAAACTTGTTAAAATACTTTACGCTGAAAATTCTATATTGTACCGAAAATGTAATATTGAATAAAGCTAATAATAATAATAATAATAATAATAATAATAATAATAATAATAATAATAATAATAATAATAATAATAATAATAATAATAATAAACGAGTGCGAGGAATTAGAGAAATGATTTACAGTGGATGGTTAGAGTTAGGAATCAAATTTAGAGTTTTAATACGAAATGAGATCAGCTAAAATGTCAACAACAAAAAACATTTAGTCAAATGGGTGAGTGAATTTCGCGCCAAAACCCAAGAACCGTTATCTTAAATCTGATTGGCTCATCCATAAATTGTAGTCTCGCCGTCTATACAGATAGATTATTTATGATGATTCACAATAGACAGATCGTGAGTTGTAATGTTAAATTATAAGTTATTAGTTATAAAAGAAATTGTCGTAGGAATTATGTTATTTGAAATATGTTCGATAATTCTGTTTTTGATAATTTTCTTGTCAGATATCGGACCAGTATCAGGCAAACAAAGCGTTGAAATTACTTAAACTTCAATCGCTGAAATAATAATTTATAGATTTTATTTCTTACGAGATATCGTTTTCAGAGATCGAGTTCCCTGTCGAAAATCACTTACAACAATACTGATTTATGATATGGGGTCTGAATACGTATTTTTCTAACGAATAACTCATAAGGGGGAAATGAGTAAGGTGATTGGAAAAATATCTTGTTTTAGAATGCATAAAAGTTAATATGACTGACATACTATAGATATAACACTCAATATGAGACATATGTAAAACCACAAAATATATCCACAGAAAACATGTTGGAATAACGAAATGAGAAATCCACGAAAAGGAAGCAGATCAATAATAGATGAAATCATTAACTGATCTAAGCAATGAAGCACTGAACGGCTGCTTCTTCCTAACATAGGACTTCTCGGCAGTTTGCATCCACAATCCCATGCGTGAGACGCGAATTCAAGAACTTCGGTCACTCATGCGAATACTTAACCTCCAGATCACTGAACCAACATCAAGAGGTTTTAGTATCTAACTTTAATCAATCCATGATATTGAACAACCTATCACTCATTGCCTGAGGTGGATATCTGTCAGCTCAGAGGTCTAGAGTTTAAGCGTTCGAGCACAAGACAAAGGGTCCTGGGTGTGGGAACGTGGATTCACAATACTGAGGGGTCCCGGACTTGTACGGAACGGTCAGTTTGTGCTTTCAGATTTTTAATGGTGATACAGCTTAGAATGACTCTTGATTTCAACTATGAAAACACCACAATCTCCGTAAATCTCCATACAGATCAAAAATAGTTACTTTGGAGCGCTTCGTTTAATTGAAAAAAGATCAAATGAGTAAAAGCATTTGAAGTTCGGATAGGTACCGCCTACAAAATTATGAAATACATATTTAAATACTTTATTCATTGTAGTTAAAATAGAGCTATTCGTTTTATCAGGGAATATTGAAACCTAGAAATAATTCCTGGACTAGATTTTTAAAGCGGGTTAAATTAATTTTGATGCGCTTCTTTGGTTACTTAATAATAATGAGTAGATCAAGAATAAATCTCAATTTAATAGGTTAAATGGACTGTTAATATCAATGTAATATGAGATGAATTTCATTTTATTTGAGACTCATCGGTTGGATATACCTATATCCAGATGTTGACTCTTACATGGACACTAAAACAGTATATTTTAATTTAAGCACCATTTTACATTTCATATATTGAGATACAAGTAAAAAAGATCAAATAATCAAATAATAATCAGATTGCAACAGCTTAGAAAAAAAGCAATATCAATCTTCAAAATGAATACTATAAAATGCTTTTCTAAAAAAGAATCTATCAGTTTGATACTACAAAGAATAAATTTCAACATTAACAAAAAGCAGTAACAGCTACAAAGCACCCGGTTCATGAGTGTGTATTGCTAAGAAGACCCAGGCCAATAAGACAAAGGATGTCAAGTTCTTTCTGATTCTGGAAATGGTTCTACCTTTTGAAAGGAACCAATAACACACAGATCGTTAAGATAATCAATTTTTTATCAATCACAATTCGGTTCGATTAGAAAACAATGGTTAATAGAAAGATTATAAAATGCCGTAGTAGATTTAAACCGAATAGCTACGTTTCAATTTTATTAACCGTTTACTTCCGACATTTCATACCTTAGATCAACTTATGTTTAAAATAACCTTTAAACGAATTATTTTTTATAATTCGTACTTCACACATAAAAACATCGTTTTATAAATAAGAAATAGCTATGCTTACCAGTTATTTGTATTACAATAACTGTTCATTGAAGGTTCAATTTATTTTCAGTAGTGCTTACTGCTTCACACTTCAATATAAAATACAGTTATCGATCTCACGTTCATATATATATGTCATTCACGTACGTTCGAATTATTCCATGTATTCGGTCTTTTACTTAAAAATTCAACATCAATGTTATAAAACAGTTACTCTACAAAAATATCCTAATTATGATTGATTATAAATGACTGTTTCAAAACTATAAATAAGAAGCTGTTTATTGAAAAAAAATCTTATCATATAGAGTATGACAAGAAAACTATTATAGCAAAAAAGAACTTACCATTATAGATTTCACTTCAGAATAAACACCAATATGACTTGAACTATTTGGTAGAAAAGAACTTAAATAATCTTCTTTATAATTTAACACACTGACAAGGTTACGTAAGGATTTACTAGAAGGGATATGAAGAAAAGTGCGGTAAAATAACGTTCAATGTGCAAAATATTTTTTAACATGGAGAATGACAATTTAATAGATTACAATATAAAATACGAGTAATGTCATTTATTGAAACTGCATAGAATGGTACTTTAAGTTATTTATATAACTTCAATAAATGATATCGTCAAAAAGACCATTTTCTTTGCTACAATATTTTTATTTCTTTTTCAATGAGGTGCAGTGAGTTCCAAGAAAGAAAATACTAATTAGTGCAGTTTATACTCAGAGTACATAGCATTGATTGCAAAGTGTAAATCAGTGTAGTTTACATTCAAGTTAAGAACTGAATAGAATAAAAGTTATCATTTGTAACATTGGTAAAAACAATATGTCAAACTCCTTTCAATTAACTCTCACACAACATTCATTAAATAAGAGGGTGGGGCGGAAGAAAAACATGTAAATTATGTTGAATAGAAGGGGGCTGATGTTGTAATTACAGGTTAAGTAGGCGTGAAACTGAACACATATTTCCTAAAACAACATTAATTTCAGTATTATTTAATTAGTATGACTCAAAACAAAAGGCGATGACTTTATTTAATTCATCGTCTTTCTTCCAACAGATTTTAATATCAGCAAGCATCACGAATCGAGGTAAACAGTGGTTGAATGTATGTAATGCATCAGTGGTAATTAGATCGTTTAATGACATGGATGACTAATAGAGTTTGAAGCTGTGCAAGAATAGTTGGGTTTATTTATGAGTGTGCATCGTTTGAAGAATTCTGATCTTAAGTATTTACTACATTTGACAGAAGCAAAAGGAGTATGAATATTTTCAAGAAAAAATCTCACAGGTACAGCCTCGTATTATGTTTGGGAAATCCTAAACACAAAAACTCGGAAAAGATTATTATTATTCGAAATATATTTATTACAATGACTTAGAAGATATTATTAATATGATTAAACACTTAACGCATCACGATAAATGTAGAATATCAAACTGAATATGAATATTTTGACGTACGTATGAAGAATAATTTGAGTTGGTTAAAAATACCAAAAATTCATTACTCTTCCAATTTCGAATTTTCAGAAAGAGGTTTTGTGGAGATTTTGGTAATTTAATAGTTGAAGTCATGAGTCAATTAAAGCTAGAACATCATGAGAAACCTGGAAGAACTGTACGGCCGTTTCGTCCTGACACGAGGCTCCTCAGCAGCGCGCATCCGCAATCCCGCTCACGGAACTAGAAATCAGGACATATCTGTCTCGAGCGTGAACGCTGAACCGAGCTGGCCGGCATCCGACGGTGTTGATGTCTAACTTCAACCAATCCACGAAATTGAGCCACCGCCCACCATTCTCTTCAGCGATTTACTATCTCACAACAAACCTGGCTTCGAATTTCAACTCTTACAACATTTTACTCTCAAACAAAAATAAGTCAATTTTTTACACCAAACTAATCACACATTAAATTATCGTAAATAAAAAGTGTAATTACAAAATGAAATACAATTCATCTGAAAGTGTGAATCTAACTATATAGAAAGATGACAATCTACACTACATAATCACAAACATATATATATATATATATATATATATATATATATATATATATGCAACTCTTTCGCTAGAATATCAGTTAGTAAATAATCAGTAACCATAGTTTGTTTTCTAGCAAATAACATTTCGCAGGCGGTGGGTGGTATGACTAAATCATAATATTTTTCAATATAAATATTGAATGATACATGAAACATGTGATGATGTGCAAACAAACAAATACACATCCCTGCAACCTAAAATCTGTTTACATTGTTCTACATTTACACAAAAAGCAAATATAAAAATTTATGTTTAGTCTATTGATTTTATTGACCTATAAATCTCATAACCTGATTAACATGTCACCATGTCATACAGTGAGCATAATAGATAAAAATGTGAAACTTTGTAGAAAACAAAATACCGGTAGTAAGGACAGAATGCTGACTAGATTGAGATAGACAAATATTAAAAAACAGTCTCAAAACGAAACTGGAACAGCCTAATGAATCATGATTTCAGCAAACTAACTTTTATTAAATTAAGATGCATGTTTCAAAAGTAGCTTGCCGAAGTTATTGAGTTACATTTACCCTGTATGATACGGTCCGATCAGAACTAAAGTCTTCTCAATAATCTCACTTGGAAAACGAAAACGATTCGTGACAAAATACGTTTAAAATCATAAAATTATTTTTTAGTGTCTGCATTATATCAAATAATGTTTCAATAATTGGTTCCTAATAGCTATTAGCAAGTACACGAATGTACTGTGAATTCCGAACTTATTTTAAATAGTGTTATTGTTTTAAGGTCGACTCACGTTGAGGTGAGAACTTTTTGTAAATTCACTAATAGTTCAAAGAAAAATATACTTTTATGGTATATAAATGTTCACAGGAATTAATACTTGAAATTTCTGACACTTTTACCAACGTATATTCAATGAGTCAATAATAATTAAAATATTAAAAAACAGAACCAATGAATTATCATTACTACTTACACTGAAGATTGTTCTAAGAAATTTATAAGTTTTTTAAGACTAGCTGATGATCGATGATAAGGTGCGAACCAACTCCAATTCGGTGCATATTCAATTGGAGTAGTAGATAAATTATGATTTAATACAAACGATGATCCATTACGTTTGAATCGACGAATACTTCGTAAATCTGTTTAACAAAGAATTTTTAACATCAGTATAGGATTTTGTAGAGATTATAGGACTCTAATGGGTTTTAAGTCACTAAAGGATCTTGGTTAAACCGCCAATGAAAGTCTGGAAGTATCAGATGGCCGTTTCGTTCTAGTATGGGACTCCTCAACAGTACGCATCCACGACCTTACACTCTGGAATCGAAACCAGGACCTTCAGCTTCGCGAGTGAACGCATAACCCCTAGAGGACTGATTCGGAATACAGCAGCATTAACGTCTATTTTCAACCAATAGACGACATTATGCGACCACCTTCTATTGCCTGGGGTGAAAACGATTAAACTTCGCTGGTCGTGGATGTCCACTTCTAAGGAGACCCATACTAGCATGAAACGACCACCCAGTGTTTCAATACTTCCAATGACAGACCTATTGAAACCATTTTGTAATCTATATTCTGTGTAAATTGTTTAAATTCAAAATAAACAACGCAAAGTAAGAAAAATTTATTCATGTTGAAGAAAAGAAATGTGTTAAATTATTTGAAGATATATCATTCGAAGAAATGACATCATTTGAATATACGATAACTACTAAAGCGTAAAAATTAATCTGTTAATTAGGATATTCATGAATTCTGATGCTGAGTTGAACAGAGAACTAATTTTTAAGTGCTATTATAAACAGGATATCATACTGATAACCTATCAAATGTGATTATAACTATATGCACAAGGCAACCTGGTTGAATATCTGGGCTACCCATTCCTGTCATTTGGATAATTCAACAAGTTATCTGCTTTCTTGTTTGTTTTAACACTTTAGCATGTCTATTAGTCTCATAACCTATTCAGGTGCGTTTATGAAACGTTTATGAGATTTCGCTGTACAAGCTACAAAAGATCGCAATCACAGACATCGCGGTTGCTGGAAATATGCATCGAAAAGAATATACATTATTCAGATGTCGATTCCTGAACTGCTAACATTCAACTAACAACCACTCCATCTTTATCGCAAGGGTCCGTCAAGAAATAAGAAAAGGAAACTTGTTGAAATACTTTAAGCTGAGAATTCTAAATTTTAACAAAAATATAATATTGAATCAAGCCACTAATAGTAATATGATGTATTATAACTGTATGAATCAGTCAAATAGAAATATTTCTTTCATTTGGACACTATGAAAAATGAAATCTGAAAAAGAATCTTAATTGTATCAACTTAGAAATTTATAAATAACTTGAATATATTTTTGTAAAACATCATTAAAATAAAGACATTCTATGGTGGTTAACAATAATTTACTAATTTAATCAATAAAAAAACGCTGAACATGAATACTACAGATGCAGATATACTCAAACATTTATGAATTATGAAGGTAGGCATACTTGAAAAAGTTTCCTTAAAATATGGTGGTACCTTAAATGAGATTAATCTGTGACGAATATCAACTGTAAATCAAATATCCATAAATTGCCATTAAGGAAAATACATATATATCTATGAAGATTTTAATAAGTAATTACCTCGATTTTCATATAATTTTCGCTGTGTTTGATACATTTGACTGAGTGTGTCATATAAATGAGAAAATTCACCGTTTTGAGCAACTGATTCCAACAGGCAAAATAAACCAGGGAACATTGTATTATTACATACATCATTATTAGTTGTAGTTAGATTTTTAACTGGAAAAGAATTTGGAGTCTAAATGAAAATAAAAACAAAAGAAATTGAGCAAAATCATCAACCATTAAAACTTCCATATGTTACAATTAATCCCTCGATATTCTGTATGTAACGAATATTATGTGGTAATTAAGTACTTGTTAATATACTGAAAAGCAAGGTACCAATAAATAAATAATTGATTAAATTACTAAAAAGGAATAGATATACATGCATTATAATTTGAATGACATATATGGTGTGGTGTAAAAATGAAAGTTTAAACATCTCTACTACCGATTATACTTACAATCATCATGCACTTACAACTAAGAAACATAGAGAGGTAACTCGTGCTAATGGATGATGGCACGCTAATATCATGAATTAACAAAAGTTAGAAAGGTAAACCGCTGCAAGCCAACTCAAGGGTTTAAAGGTTAAGTGTTCACCGTAATGTCTTTAGGTTCTGGATTTGTTCTTTGAAGAAGTCATGGATGCGTACGGCTGAGAAGTCACATACTACGATGAAACAGACATCTATTTTTCCATGATTTTCAATAGTTATCCAATGAAAGTTAGCGTAAGAAGTGGATCATCAAATATTTCGTGATAGTCACATCCATTCAACAGTCTATAAACATAAAGATGGGGGGACCTTACAGATAAAGATTAAATACTTTTCACCGATATTATAACACAACCTCAATAACCTTTAAAAATATGAAGACAATCAGCGAATTATTATAACAACGTTCATTTATACGCCTACTGCCATATGAATAATTTAACTGAATTGAATGCCGAAAATTTGACGTGTTCCAGGTGAGTCAAATAAAAACTTCACAGCTCCCATCATGAACAATTATACATATATACTTACTGTTGATCGAAATAATCAATTCATCAGTTTTAGGTAATAGATATTAAAAATACAAGAAGACCACTACTACCTTTATTGTATCAACATAACACAGTTAAAATATTCCCCATTTAAAGAAATCTTATAATTAAGAACACTAATCTTAAAGAGAAAAACAAAACGTTTAGTAAATAAACTATCAATGTTATGTAGAGATATTAAGATGTTTCCTATTTAGACGACAATTCGTGGACTGTAATAACATTTCATGAAAACGTATTGGCGTAATATTTTGGAATAAAGAAGTGTTATTTTAATAGAAGAAAAAATAGATAACAACGAACTCAGTTAAATGTTCATTTTCCAATACCAAATCAGAAGTGTCTAAACATGTTTTAGTAAGACTTTTTTATTCTGTAAATAATAGTAAATTGTTCTTCTTTTAACATTAGGTGATTTTAACATCTTAGTGACTTTGCAAATTAAAATTCAATTACATAATTTAAAATGATACATAAAACCATCAGGACGATCAGCAGAATTTCTATTCCTTCCTACGTACACTTCATCTAACATCATACACTAAGGTAGATGATAATGAAAACCATAATAATGATTGCCTATGTAAGGTGGAAATTACTAGTTTAATCATTTAACATATTCTTCAGTCAATAAACACAGAGACCGACTGTGATTGAAACATGAATTAGAACAGAAAACATAGAAAACGAAACAGTAAAACTATTTTACTTATTATTTTATTAATGAACAAATACATACTGTTGAAATTTCATTATATAGTATTTGAAACCAAAAAAGAAAGAGGTTACATTAAACAAAACTAAATCTTATACAGATTACCTGACCTCTCCCCTTATTTAAAAACATAATTAATAAAAAATATACCCCCAAGTGACCAACCAATTAAACATAAATTATATTGTTTATCTCTAAAAAAATAAAGTAAATCAATAATCAAATGAATATAAACTTTTTCATTGTCATCAATTACATTTACTTCAAAAGAAAAAGAAAAATTAATTTATTGAAATACAACGCTGAAAATGATTTTTGTTTAGTTCTATTTTTTTTTGTTTTTTCTTAGAAACAAAATTTTTTTTATCATAAATAGTTCGTTATTAGTTAGAAAAAGAAAAGAATCAATACAAATGGAATGAATGAATAAAGAAAAACAAAATAAGAAAAAAAACTTTCACATCTATCATAATCATTTTTTTAATGTTTATTTATAACAATAAAAGATTATAGAAACATTTTTGAAAAATAAAATTTATTTAACATTGAATATAATTTTTAATTTAATTTTCATTACTTTTTGCCGGTACTTTTGTAGAACATTCCACAGAATATGTTGTAATTGTAATATGTTTTAAATAATGACATTTTAATAAATGAAATAATACATGACGAAATTTTTTAATACGTACAGCATAAATAAAAATATTACATGATGTTTGAATAAATATTAAATGCCAAAATATATCAGCAATATTATAAACAAGTCGAAGTGGTCCACGTAATTCATTTGGATTAGTTAATATTGATGGTAAAATAAATGAAATAATATAAGCAATACTTTGTGGTAATGATGCAATTAATGTAGTTACACATAATATAACTAAAACAATTGATGCTGATAATTCTTTTCTCTCTTCTATATTATTAATAAATTTACGTCGATTATTTAATAATTTACGTAATTTGATCATAAATGCAATATTAAGACCGATTACAAATAAAAATTGAATTAAACAAGAATCTGATACAAAAGCATGATATATATTCAAGAATAAATCATTATAATTTAACCAACAAATTAATAAATTATTTGATAAATGCCAACCAACTACTATACCATATGGTAACATTAATAAACAACTAATAATAATAATTAAAACAATTAAATACCATGCATAACGTTGTGGTATTTTACTATATTTCACAGGCATATAAACACATAAACAACGATCTATAGCCATTAACAATAATAAATTACCACCAAGTGTACATGAGAATGAATATGCGAATCTATGAAAACGACATAGATTTTCTGAAATATTAAATGTAAAAAGATAGACATTTCCTAATGTAGCATATGGTAAACCTTTTGATGGAAATACCCATAACCAACCGAATAATATCTGTGTCAGTGCATCGGTTATCGCTAAAGCACCCATATAAATCATTTGTCTTGATGAATTTGGAATTAGACAGATAAATATTACTGCTATCAATATATTACTGATAATACCAAATGTAGAATAAATTGGGAATATATATGCAGATAGAAATCCTAATATACTTGATGTAATGCACATCACATAATCATTGGATTGACCACTGTAGAAATTTTCACAATCTTCAAGTAAATCCCATGGTGAATCAACAAATAACCAATCTGATCGATTAACCATTTGTTAAACAGATAATGATGATGATTAAGAGCAGACTTCAAATTTTATCCGACTTATATAATAAAAATTTATCCTATTTTGTTCTTCCAAAAATAAGTTGAAGACATTGCGCAGGTAGCATCAAAACGTCGTTAATTTGAGAAGCAAATAATTGGAACCTAATCTCGAGTTTCAAAAGCAACCAAGCATTTGTCATATATATATATATATATATATATATATATATATATATATATATATATATATATATATATATATATTACCCACCCATTCTCCGAATATTTACTTGGTAAGTAATGCAGAAAATAAGGGTCATTACATATAATGAAACACAAATATAATCCATTCATCCCCCCTGTCAAAATCTTTTTTGTCATTTGATCTTCAACAAAGGTGAGGAATACAATTGAGAAGCTCAAAAATAAAAAAATTACGCCCTATGTAACGAACTGATATACAATATTGCACACGTGGAGTTTTATCTATATCTGTATAGTTGGTATTTATAAAACGATCCTCATATTCATAAACAAGTACACACGTATACACACATGGAGATTAAAAAAGATAGTAATAATACTAAAATTACAACTAAAGTACAAACTGGGGACGTATTGAATTCGGAACAGTTAAATCGTAAACAAATGTTTAAATTAGAAAATAAATCATAAGATTAAGGCCAACAGTAATTTTATTGATAACAATAAATAAGCGCGAATATGCATGTATTTGCTTGTAAGGGGATTGGTTGATGGTAGCCAGTTGAGTAGGGTAAATAACACGGTATTATCCAATAATTTCATTAAAATTGAATTATTCACTATATACAACACATCATAAAACTAGTACGAGAGAGGAGAGAGAACACAGTGAACTATCATATGTATGCTTTAGATAATTAATTACGTTTCAATGAAACAGAATTATCATGAAACATGAATGATGATAGTAACAGCGATAAATAAAATGACACCATTTTAAATAACAATAAGAAACGAAGAAAAGCGATAATTAATAGAGTTGAATTGCCATTATTTCACAAGTTATATATGTGTAGAATGAAAAAAGATTCAACCATTCCATTTGAATGATAAAAATTATTTTAAAAAAGAAATTTATACTAAATTGTGAATAGAGCCGAAAACAAAAATCAAAAATAGTGTAATAGGTTTTAGGTCAAATAACAATTGTTTTTCTTATATGTTTTCTAAGGACAAAGACTTCAATCGTCAGTTATATTCATTAATGATAACAGTAATAATAATAATAATAATAATAATAATAATTATTATTATTATTATTATTATTATTATTGTTATTATTATTATTATCGTCATGGATAGAAGAAAAAAAGTATAACTAATATTTCAAATGAATGTAGTATAGAAAAAAATTTAAGTCAATTATAGAAAATAATAATAATTATCACTAAATAAGTAGATTATAATGTACGAACGATAAGAGATTGATTACTAAAATTCACTGAAAAACAATGTACATATTCGAATATTTTTTCATAGTCTTGTAATAGTACAGCTGAACAGAACAATACTAATAACATTATACGATTATTAAACAAATGTACTATGAATAAGAAAAACAATTACATAATACATTCATTTTTAAGTACTTATTATTTTAGGAAGTTTGTGAAGATTGATGAACTTCTTTATTTCCAATGAAAAACAGATCTTAGAAAGATAACTATTCAAAATATACAAGGTACAACATGGTACACTATTGAATATTGATTACATTTAGAAATGTAAACCAATGGGTATCACTTCAGTAGTCTGAAGGATAAGCACTCAGCGATAGGCTTTATATGTTTTGGGCTTCAGTACCTGGTGAGATAGTTCATGAGTATACACTCATATGGAGTTTCATATTGGTTGTCCATTGTAAGTTTTTAATGGTTTTTTAACCAAAGTCAATTCGTGATGTAAAACATACAGAAAGAATCTCAAGCAAATGACCTACCTCAGACAATGTAGTATTGTCAATGAAATTTAAAATATTCTTTGTACGACAAAAATTTTCATATGGAATGGGTGAAGTTAGACCATCCTAACAAAAAAAAGAAAGAGAAAAGAAATTATTTAGTAAGGAATTTTTCTCGGAGGAAATAGCAAACAAGGAAAAACATTGAAGACAATCGTATGAAGTTTCGGTAAATTTTTTGGTTGTGGCTAACACTGGTATCCAGGATTCATTTTACACCTAATTGCGAAAATAGAATACATTTAAACTTGCACTAATATTTACACTATTAAGCAAGACCAGCGTAATAAATGAGGCCGTGATTAGCAAAACAATTTATTGTGTAGTGCAAATCACACTGTATTTGTAAAATACGGAAGCGATACATTAAATTCTCTACATGCAAATTTTCCTTTAGTTGTCTCTTACGAACTCCAGTGCTTCTTCTTTCCTGTTTTTATTTTGATGGCTTTCTGGTTCCCTTTCTCTTCATTTTCCTCTTACGTACGTAAGAATTCTACTTTCGATTCCCGACACACTACTTATATTTGCCTGTACAAGTAGAGGGTGATGAAATGTAAGCTTGAATATCAATAACAGGAAAACATAAACACTAACTAATAATTAAACGAAATGCTTCAGAATACTTCAGTTCATAAATCTGGGTGTCAATTTAGGAGAATTGAAAAAGGGTAATCAGTTCGAAGAATTATAAAATTCAATTATGACATATATCAGCAAACTACTTAAACTTCATACACATAAATATTAGTCATTCAAAAGGATGTAACGTAGAACTTGGCACATATGTTCATTGGTGCAAGTTTCCGCACCTCATCCGGACAACTAGATTCCAAAGTAGTATGAGCAAATAATATTCGTAATAATGTAAAATATGAGGTATAGACAATATGATTCAGGAAGACAAAATAAATTTGCAGCATTAAAAACATTTTTATAGTAAATAATAGACCTAGAATCTAAGGAAAAACAAAGAGTAAATGTACCTGCGCCACTGATAACGATTATGATCTATGTCACCCAGGGTTTCCGATCATTAGTTAAGATAGCCCTGCGAATCACAACCAGGTGGTCAACACTTACACATATGAATCAATTCAACAGTCAAGGACTTCATGAACTGATACAAGAATTTCATTTAACTAATCCTAGCTTACTTTTAACCTATTGCTGCACTACCCAGCATCGTTCGTCGAAGGTAGGTGGTGGTAGGGCATATACTACACATTTCCCTGTCACATCAGTCGACAAAAGTTCTCTAACTCATAAAGCTATTTGTCGTTTTCTCCTAGTACTCAATGCTTAATCTCAGCATTTTTCATTCGGTGATCCCAGAATACACAACTAATACATCGAAGAAACATGTGATCAAATATCCTTTATTTTTAACAAACACATTCCCAAGCCACCATATATATCCATATATATAAACGAGTTCTGGATATCTGAGAAAATTAATAAGGTATGTTATAGGACCTAATTATTCCACACAAACCTGAAAATATTACGAAAAAAATTATTGCTTTAAAGGTGTCGCTATTATAAAAAGTTTTGTGAGACGCCTTTTTACCTTTGTACTAAAATATAAGACATCGAAGTTTGACTTTTGATAATTTACAATCCGTTTTAGATTTTCAGATAATATTAATCCCAAGAATACTGATTTCTTGGTCACCATGTTTTGTAAGTAGTATTTCAATGTAATACAGATAGATTGATCTCAAACTTATAAGAATGGAAAACGATTAAAACGTAATACAATAAAGACTAGCTTAGTTTACCATTAAAAACAACGCGTTTGTTCTTAAAGTGCGATTCATGTATTGTTAGGGATTTCATGAATTGTTGATCTACTAAGGTTAATGCAACTCTCAAGGCAAGTGAAGGAGTAAACAATCTAACATTTGGCTTATGAGAAGTTAGCAATCGTAAAAACTTGGATAAATTTTTTCCTTTATTAAATGGAAAATGAAATTCCATGGGCTAAAGCGTTTTGTATGTACTGAAGATTATGAATTGGTAAATACCTCAAAATTTCAAAAAGTAAACGTTGTGAACTAGCAAAATATAGACTTAAAATGTTATTTCTTCTTACTTATTAGTTTATGAAGTCTAAATTAAAATGAGTTTTGTGGAAAATTTAGGAAATTTCACAGGTTGAAATCATGAGTCAATTGAAGCTAGACCACCATGGAAAACCTGGAAGCACTGGACGGCCGTTTCGTCCTAGTATGGGACTCCTCAGCAGTGCGCATCCACGATCCCGCACCACGCGGGGCTCGAACCCAGGACCTACTAGCTTCGTGCGCGAGCACTTAACCACTAGATCACTGAGCCGGCATCCAACGGTGTTGATGTCTAACTTCAACCAATCCATGAAGTTGCGCCACCGAACACGGCTCAGTGGTCTAGTAGTTAAGTGCTCGCGCGCGAAGCCAGTAGGTTCGGGGTTCGAGCCCCGCGTGGTGCGGGATCGTGGATGCGCACTGCTGAGGAGTCCCATACTAGGACGAAACGGCCGTCCAGTGCTTCCAGGTTTTCCATGGTGGTCTAGCTTCAATTGACTCATGATTTCAACCTGTGAAAGTCTAAATTACTTAGGACGAAGATGGTTCAGCAATATCGATTGAAGTTCAAAAAATAGTACACTAGATGCCGATTCCATTGTCTAAAACCAAAGTGTTTGTCTCTATGCCTGAAAAACTTTGGTTCGATCTCTGATCAGATCGTGATGTTTACTGTTGAGAAGTCTTACAATAGAACGGAAGAACTGTTTAATGCTTCCTGACTATCAATGACTGTTCGGCTAAAATTAGTTTGTGACCCAAACCACAAGAAATAGAAACAGTGGAATATGCTGTAATCCAATATTCTAATCAACGGAATTAATGTTCCCACTCAAAGCATTTGGACATCAGGCCAGAGCAAGTAGCGTAAACACAAACTTAAAATCAATCGTTTCTGATGGTCAACCCAATTAATTATTATCCCATTAGAATAATTAAAATTTATTTTATCACCTACATGTTTCAAACGTTGTTCATCCAGCAGAATATTACTATCAAAATAAAGCTGATTAAAGCATTCATAAGAATAATTAAAAATTAAATCGGTGAAATTTCCAGTTTTATGCATCTCATTACTTTCCGATGATAGTTTTGCTGTTGGTGGTGATATTGATGAAGATGGTGATATAATCGATGTTGTAGAATATGGTATTTGAAATCCAACTGGATCAACTAGAATTAATTGAGCTACAACACTAAGTTGACTAGATAAATCTGATTTCGGTGTAGACAAACAACTAGAAGAGAAAAACAAAATAATTAAGTAAAATTAATGAGACGTTAATAGTAATAAATGATAGCTTTATTCAATGCTATGAACCTTAACAGTATACAAGTTTGTGGAGGTTTTTAACCATTTATATCACGAACTACCTGCTTCGGTCTGGGCACCCAAGCAGTATCACAGCCCTCACACAAATCGAGTGGTTTATGTGGCGCATATCTACTTGGTGCCTCCTTGTACCAATGTTTATGTGTTTAAATACATAAGTATCACGAACCGACCTTATTTGGACATCCACTGAAAAGTGAAAAGCACTGGACACCAGTTTCATCTTCGTACGCGACTTCTGAATAGTACACATCTACCACCCGACCACAAGGAATCGAACCCAGGACATTTAGTTCATTGTACGAAAGCCTAATCTCCAGACCAATCAACCGCGATTATGTGGTCTACATGTCTAACTTCAACAATTTCGAAACACTTCGTGATCATTTTCCATTTTTCCTGCCAGGTAACTGCTTTACATATTTGAATACCACTAGACAATGCTTCTTACGAGAAATCAGAAAAATATCTCTCAAAATTAGCCACCAGTGAGAGTATTCTAGAGATTAAGCGCTTGATTGTGAAACCAAAGGTATTGGGTTCAATGACCGGTGGGATCGTAAATGTGCACGACCGAAAAGTGCTATAGTGAAATGAAGTATCTGTTAGTGCATGTTGGTTTTTAATGGATTTCAAAATTAGGTTAGTTCGTGATACCAATAATTATAAAATTCGCTACATTAACCAACTCTCAGTAGCGAGTGTGCAATGTTGCTCCAAACGTAATAAATAATATAGATAAAATAGACTAGTGGTACATACAAATATACTGCAGTTAAACTGAACTCAATTTATTCAAGCAAAGTTTAAAAGTTTGCAAGAGTTATGCACTTTATCCTTATGAATTAGATATTTACTACCAAATTCACTAGATGACTTTAAGCAACTCTAGTGGATATTGGAATTTAGCAACTGAACGTCTAAAGGCACTGTCAAATCAGTAAAAATTGGAATCAGTGAATATTTTTGTAAGATAAACTCACAATCTGTGTCTTTACTTGATCTCGTTTTCCTGAGGTGAAAATAAACTTTTGAAAAGGCGTCATGTTCATGCAATTTATTCTTTATAAAATATTCCTTTTTGCCATGACACGCATCGAGCCTTATTCAGAATTTTAGACTGAGTTCAAACTTGGACAGTGACTTCGAAGATATATTCACTTTTTCTGAGATTTTATGAATCAGCTTACACTATTTTTCCTATGAGTAACTCGATTTTCTCAACTGTGAGTGTTATATTCAAAATCACCGACCTAGCACCCACTGTAATGGTTTGAGAAAAATCTAAAAAGTCCTCTACCAACTAAGTTGTTACATATACCCTTCATTTATCATATATATAGAATTTAATGTATTTGTCCCTCGTGTACACGCGAAAGAAAGTATGCCAGTAATGATAGTGATTATGTATGAGACTTCTAGTACTTAGCATCGCAACAAGTTCTAAAACTTTTATATTAATGGGTAATTATGTACAGTTAACACACGTAGATATTCAGTTCAAACAAATGTAAAACAGGAATATTAATTGCAAAATTTACACAGTTGAAAAGGTGGCCTGTATATTCGACGAGGTCGCCGAAACCATTATTTTCTATATTAAATTATTATATTCACAAAAGACTATATATGAATAAATCCACAGCTAGTTATGACAACAGAACAATTGACTTGATATAAACTATCGCAATAATCCCAGTGACTAAACTAATAATTTATTCACATAACGGATTTCATCAGTCACAATCCAATCAGTATGTGAATATAGAAATACTGAGTGAAATTAGGCCAATTCGCTAGCAAGAGATGACAAATAACTTAGCAATACATACAAAAAGGAATCCTTAGTATAAAGTAAACAATTCTTAACGATTTTGTAAAGCGTAACAATAATGTTTTAAATAATGTAATTATGCATAATTTGATTGATCTCAACTATTGTTAACCGTCACAACAACTACTTTATGACAAATATCAACAACTTTTTCTAAGTATATCATATCATTTATTTATAAGTACTTTATTTTTACTAGAAAATAATTCTCGTGCTTTGTTGGAATAGATAACGAAATCAATTGAAAATTGTTGACTGACATCTTACTAAAAAATAAACTAACTAGGAATCATAGAATTTAATGCAAATACGCTACTCAGGTTTAGGTACTATGATATTGAACTGAACAAAATACTTAGACTTTTAACACCAGCCAATTACCGAGTTTAATATAAGCGGATAGATCTCAAACTCGAGGTTGTTAAAATGCGTGTCAAATATAAAGACTAAGCAAATGTTATGAAAGTATGAATTGAGGTACTCGTACAAAGAATGCCATCATTAACAAAAGCTTCATAATTCTTGAGATTACATCCATAAAATATGCCGGTAATTCAGGATAGTAACACCAAAAGAATGATCGTCACAGTACCCGAATACGCATTGCTGAACCTGTGCATTAATAACACGATGTTGCTATTGAATGTCGTTGATCCTTCGGAGAAACCAATGATGGAACACAGAAAGTCATCTGACACTGTCAGCTCTGAGGGATCAGGTTTCGAAATTATGGAGCAGAACCACTCTCACAAAACCGTTGCAAACCCAACCCATTACATACAAACTAACATCATGATGGTGTTAAAGATTGGCATAAGCTTCTCTGGTTTTCAGTATATATAAGCTGATGACATCTGCCACACAAAGAGTTGCAATCATATATCTACCCAGATAAAAGATTTTTTGAATTACTTCTATAAGATCAATACAAGAAGTGCGAGCACAAACTCCTGAGTCATGTAAAAGTACCTGGCATTTAAAACGTTAAAAATACATCCCATGTTCATGGACACTATCTACCAAATGATGGAGTGCGATTTTTACAGCTCGTGTATGATCGCACGGTGAGACAATATCAGGGTCAAAAAGCATTTATCCAGGTGACAGATCGCCTACTTCCATCAAGCTGTTTTGCAAATGTTATCGATGACAAGAATAAAGAGAAATAATGATATATGAGACAACCTTGCTTAACTCTACTGTTGAACCGCAACAATAGAAAAAATATGTCTGTGAATACTTACTCTATCTCAAACGTTTGTGAACAGACCCCTTAAAGTGTTAATCAACTTCTAATTCACAAAACTGATCATGAGGCAATCAGAGAATATGATCCTACCCAATAAATCAAAGATTGTCATATAAATAAACCAATTGTTGATCTATGTGTTTAAATTTCCCTCAGCAACACATGGTAAACAATAAACTTATAATCATCCATAAATCTGCTATTATTACACTTTTCATTTGTAAATTTATATTTATACAATAACAAAATTATATACAACAAAATGATAATTCTACTTAAGCTATTTATTTACTTTAATCATTCACTTTCCATATACAATCAAAGCCATCAGGTTGGCAATACAATTTTTTTTATTAATATTACCTAAAACTAATGAAATAATAATTATCAGAAGGGGTTTGTGGAGATTTTAGAAATTTTCACAGATTTAAATCATGAGTCAGTTGAAGCTAGACCACCATTGAAAACCTGGAAGCACTGGACGGCCGTTTCGTCCTAGTATGGGACTCATCAGTGCTTCCAGGTTTTCAATGGTGGTCTAGCTTCAACTGACTCATGATTTAAATCTGTGAAATAATAATTATTGGAAATATCCGGTTACGTAAAATATTATTAAATACTTTTCAATAATAAAAATAAAAAATCTATTTCATATAAACAAATAAACATACCGATTAATTAAACTAATTAATATATCTATAATCATATTGTAAAGATCTTGTACAAATGCATGTAAACAATTTTTAGCAGTCCATTTTATATAATATTGATTATCATTATTATTCTCAATATGATGATGATGATGATAGTGATTTGTTGTTGGTTTACGAAGTACTGGATAAAAAATAAGTTCATTTAAAGTATCCAATGAACAATGTAGTAAATAAGCAGCATATTGAGCTGATTGATAATTTGTAAAATACAATAAATTTTTTTCATTTAATTCATTACAATATCCAGCACAGCCTAAATGATAAATTACAGCTAATAAACGTGTTATTCCTCCTGTTAACCATTCATTTTTTATATCAAATTGTAATAATTCAGCATCATGACATAATTGTTGCCAAAAAATTTTAGCTGATATTTTATCTTCAGGCTAAATTTTTTTATTTATTATTAAAAAAAAAATAAGCAAAACAGTATTATTAGTATGGGGATTTGTGGAGATTGTAGTATTTTAACATTTAAATTCATGAGTTGATCAAAACTAGACCAGCATTGAAAATCTGAGAGCACTGGACGACCGTTTCGTCCTAGTATGGGACTCCTCAGTAGTGTACATCCACGATCCCGCAAAGGGGACTAGAATGAATAAATTTCTGATATTAGTTAATTATATCAGTCGAAATTAACATCAATAAAAATAAAATATCGACTATTGAAATATGATCAGGAATTTTCAAAATCACAGTAATAAAAAGGAGATAAGGAAAGAATAACACATTAGTTAAAACCTTAGTTGCACATTAACGATGTACCTATATTTCCATGGTTCCAGTCTTACTAAAGTCGATATTACATATTTAAGTAAACTTGGCAATAACATGTTTGATCAGTTTAATTAGTAAAATTTCACATCCAGGTAGACTAATTTATTTTCACTTGAAAATCTTAACTTTAAACTATTGTTTTGTTCCAAAGTAGGTTCATTAATCAACTACTATCATTCATTAACTAATATATAATTAACTGTCATTTATTTGATTTCAACAAATTAATTATAGATAAAGAGATTGTCAATCTATACAGAAAAGTTAATTACTTAATATGACCTGAAAATTCTAAGGTTGATCAATAATCCAGTCAACTTATGGTATGAACTGGAAGTTCAGTCCCTAAATAAACAAGATAAATATAGTTATCAGTATATGGTTATGGAAATTGTTAAGCTTAGATTCATATCATGAATGTATCAGTGCTAGACCACCATTGAAAACCTGGAAGCACCGGACGGCCGTTTCACCCCAGTATGGGACTCCTCAGCAATGCGCAGTGCAGGGTCCTGGATGCGCACCGCTGAGGAGTACCATGCATACTGGGGCGAAACGGCCGTCCAGTGCTTCCAGATTTCCAATGGTGGTTTAGCACTGATTCATTCATGATATCAATCTAGAAAAAATTTGCACAAAGTTTCTTTTAAAATGAATTAGTTTAAATTTATTTTCCTACAAAACAAGATTATTATTCAATTGCTGCTTAATCATTCAATGTAGATGAAATTTAATCAGCTCATTTCATGCTTATCTCAGTGTAATGATTATATAAATAGTATAATTATCACCAAAAACATACTGACTAAATTCAGTAATCAATTTCGGTAATTGAAATTTTAATTTTTTTTAAGGTTTATTTCAATGAAAAGATTTGTATAGTTTTGAAATGATTATTGTTACACAATGATATTGGTTAAGTGATATTAAAAGCCATGGAAAAGTATTGGACAATTGTTCCGACTAAGTTTAAAACTCCCCTGATCAGTGTACATAAATTCACATAGGAGAAATGGTGGGTCAATGGTTAAGGCGTTTATTTCTCAACCACAAAACCATAGGTTCGAACCCAGCCTCATCTTTGTTTTGAGCAACCAGTCATTCGCAATACCTACATAGATACAATGTTGCTTAGAATATAATTACATCAATCTGTATCTGGTAAATGAGTTAGTTAGTGTGCGGGCATCTACCTGAATATTGAAGAAATACTTGCATTATCCGAAGTAATTAAAAAAAATCAAAGACGATTCTTAAAATCTAAAAAAAAATTTGATTTCTAAAATCTACATATAATTTACTGAAAAGCAGATCATTTATAAATTAGTGAGATCATATGATGACTACTACTACTACGACTACTACTACTTGGAAAGTGTCTTTAAATGATGATCGTTGACAAAGTTTATATCAAAAGATACACATTGTTGACTCAAATGAAAGTTTATTTCCTTTCATGCAATAATAAAGTTTTTCTTTGAAACAGATAAATGATTATTATAGACAGGAATGATAACTGAATTTTCACAGCAAATAAATCCTTGATTGTACAAGCTTTGAGCCAATTACCAAGAGATAAATTGACTCATTATAATCCATAAACTGAAAAATAAGAACCAACTATCAATTACGTTTAAAGTTCACTTTAACTTTAACGAGTGTCATATTCAACTGTTATATAAACACATGCAATACATGATTAACTGAATCCTTCCATATTAGTTCCCTACAAGTCCACATCGTAGAGTACTGATAACATCCTACCTTTTTCTTAGCTTCTATATCTGTACTAATAAATCAATCGATCAACGAAGATCATTCTTGGATAGTTCCTAATTAAAATCAGATAAATCCATTTTAATGAAGTTCTTTTTTCATTTTACTAATCCAAGTGAGTATTTGGATAATCAAAGTTTTTAAAGTAGGCAAGTAAAAATCGGACAACGATACTGACAACAATATCAACATAATAATTATTATGCAGAATACGATAAATAAGTGAAAATAATGCTGCCGAAACAAACGCACATAAACAAACACACAGACGGCAATAATAAAGAAACGAGACAAAATAACAATAGATCAGCATATTATTCAAATAAAACACATTTCTATAACAGAAAAACTATGTATATGTTGGATACAAATACTCACATTCATTTGTGTATAATATATAAATTCTGTTTTTAGTCATTTAAATGTGAAATACAATTCATAGTTATCATCAAGTGGATATGCAGGTAAGTGGTCTTAATCATGACATGACTAAACTGAAAACTAAAATGTAATCCTTTTTAAAAAAAATGTTGATGAGTACACAACAATGTCGTAGTAACATTAATATTTTACCGTATACAAAGGATTAGTAATTAAATTAAAATAAAATACGTAAAGAACAGAGAAAGAGAGAAATTCATAAAAGATGAAAAAGGAAAAACATGTAGGACTGATAAAGTGATAAAACCAAAACAATACTATGAAGTACGTTAATAGATCAATCATTTAATCACTTATGAACAATTTAGAATCTGACATATATATGAATCAATTTAAGTTAGCATCTCGCATCACATCAGCATAAAGAGATGAAATTAATAATACAAATTGCAGAGTGATTGAAGCAGCAACAGTATCAGTAATAATACGAATAACCATGGTGTAAACAGTAAGATTCAAAAATAAATACTCAATTTATCGAATGCAAAGTATAAGATAATGTTAAAACTCAAAATCTAAGCAAAGGAAATGTACGAATGCATCTATGTCAAGTTAGGTAGTTATTGGGCAAAAGTAATGTGTTTTAATCACCTCAATCGATGAGAAATTATCATATTATCAACTGATTCGTCATTTGTGTATAGTAGTTTGCATTTATCTTCAATATTGTTTCCTCAGTCGTCTAAGTAAACGCGAGCAATGCTTCAAAGGTATCCATGATCGAATAGAAGTAACTTACGAATGTCCTTCATTTTAAAGACCACATTTCAAAGTAGGACAGAACAAACTGCTGATCAATGTACTCATCGTTTGTTTGGTAGGTCGACATTTCATTTATGCTATAGGTGACATAAGTTAGAATAGTCAATAAATCTTTCAGAATTCGTGACAAGATTTCCTCACGATATCATCACTGACTGATATGAAGTCATAAGCCATATACGGAATAGCAAGGTATGACTGCAATTTTGAGATAATTGGGGTTCTAGGGAAACCGAACCCGTCTACACTCAGTACTGCAGTCAGAGAATTGGCGTGTAATGATCTTAGGATAAAAGATATTGAAAAGGTCAATTCAATTTTCGTAGAAATGATTTATTTGACAAACTGATTCTGAGGATAATGTTGCGCTGTAAAATTAGGTCCTCTCTGATTATGTATTTTGTTCGCATTTCACGGTTCGAATTACTAATAACTCAGTGATATTTGCTAAACCGAAATAATTTATGAACTTCATGTTCTTAAATGATGAAACCCTACATAACTAAAATGCTACCTTCACTTTTTATCGCCTTGACTACACCTTTAAATTAACATTTATTCTGTCATTGTTTTCAGAATATAAATATATTTAATCACTTAGCAAAAATAATATCAATTTAAGTAATCAAAATACAGTTACTTACACGGTGTAAACGAGTCATAAACAAGTTTGGCACATCCAGATCAGTTAGAAACAATTCACGTCTGAAATGAACAATAAGACACAAATCAAATTCGAAACATTTTGAACAATAAAAAACATATGAAATACGTTAAAGATCTCAACAATTACCGTTCAACTCTTAAGCTGAAGATGTAACTACTGAGTTAATAAATTACAATTCTGGACAACAACTGATATCTGTTCAACAGAAAACATGTGAAAAACGTCGAACGGATATCACTAATTTACTGTTAACTAGCAGAAAAATACTAAAAAATACAGAATGTTGAATCACTCTACTTTATAGTTGAAGCAGAGTCAACCGCTCCACTATCTGCCTTATAACACAGAGACCTATTAAAATCTAGTCAACAAGGAATTTTGAATATTTATGAAACATATTACAAAAACTAACCTTGACTCTTCATCCAAACCGGCTAACATATAGTAAAATATATGGAAATTAGGTTCCCCTTCAGGACGATCAGTGACACGACTACGTTCAAATAATAATAATCTTGTTGTCAGACCTGTTACAATTAAACTAATATCTTCCGGTTGATTAACTATTGGCAAAGAATGAATATTAGCAAATTCTAATGAGAATAGACGTAATGCTCGACTTCCATTAGTGTTGAGAATAATACGTGAACAGGTGAATGAATCAAGCATATTGAAGAGTGCACGTAAACGACATTCTACAGTTTCAAAAAAGGAAGACATACAGATGAACTATGCAAATAAGTGCATGATTGTTTATTATTACGATTATTACTTATTGAGTAAATAGTATATGTCACCATGAAACATGTAAACAAAACGGAAACAATATAGATAATTATATTTCAATGATAAACGGAAATACGAGGTTAACCAACGTTCTTCAATGATATTTGGACGGATAAAGATAAGAATTTATAAATCACTGGCTTGCAAGATCCATACTTGATTAATTAAATCTTATATTTCAAGCTTATTCTATCCCATGTGGTTTGAGTGAATAATGGATTATTACTATTAACTCTATTGAAACAGTTTACGTAATCAACTTGAATTTGTACTCATTGAAATATACTTAGGGTATAATTCGTAATTCGGGTTGTTGTATAAAAGGAATATTAATATTTGAAGTTGATGGAAAGCGATATCCGCTAGCTTATCAAAGCGTCACTATATCATTCCAACAGTTCAAATTTTATCACTCGGTTGATATCAAACACGGTCATAGAAATTAGAAAGTATGCGTGGTTTGTAACTATTTGATTAAAATTCTGTTAGAATCATATTTTTATTTGTTTATTTGTTTGAACAAATAAATATTGGTACAAGAGGGCACCAAATATATATGCGCCACACAAAACAATGAGAATGGGAAGAGAAAAAAGAAAGAAGGTAAGGAGCATAAAAGAAAAAAAAGAAGAACAATAACGACCAGATTAGTGTAAGGTAGTGTAATAATAATAATAATAATAATAATAATAATAATAATAATAATAATAATAATGGGGGAAACGGAAAGGTACAATCAGAGGAAATCCTTCAGTTAAGAAAGATACAACCACTTTTCATGAAGAAAGTAAAAGAAGGTTACAACAGGATCGCCACTGGTTTCTATTCTGAGACTTATCTGATAACGTTTCTAGCCACTGTGTCGCACCATCTCTCGAACCCCAGCTAGGGAATCGTGAAGGAATAACACAAGCCAGTCCTTTGCAGCTTTATTTCATACCCCGACACCATGTCATACACTGACCACATCTCCACTTCTTCCAATCAGTCCCAGCGTCGGCAAATGATGCACGACGTGGAATTCTCTGGGACGACACTCGTAGAACATGTACAAGCCACCGAAGTCGGAGTTTCAAGATGGTGACACCAATTACATTATCGTCTCTGTGCCCGAACACACGATGCCGAACCTCTGCATTACTAACATGGTGTTGCTACAGGATGGTAGGAATTTTCCTCAACTTACTTTCATTTCACTTGTGTTGTTTACTGCACACAATTACTGGTACAAATGAACACCAAAACAAAATGCGCTGTACAAATAAGGAAGTTGAATTGTGAAAAGATGATCAAGAAAAATAAATGAATAACAAGTGAATGAGAGTAGTTAACAATAGGAGATGCAATTCAGTTAGAAATACAGCCAAGAAAGACCGATTTCAGTCAAACAAGTTCATCTGGCCTTTATGAAGAATATAAAAGACAATTACAAGAGGGTCTTTATCCATTTCTAGTAACATCCCAAGACCTCGAGTTGCATGACCTTTAGGATCCCAACTACGGAGTTGCGATGGAATTCTGGATACCAGTACTACAGAGTTTCGATTTATACCAAGGCACCGGGTCAAAAAACTAGCCACCTCCGCGTTTTATTTAGCTAGTCAGCGTCAGCAATATGAAGTTCTCTAGGATTATATTCAAAACACGTGTCCAAGTCAGAGAAATCGCTGTTTCAAGATGGTAGAGCTAATTGGATTATCATAAGTGAATCCGAAGACATGTTGTCGAACGTCTTTATTACTAACATAGTCCTGCCACTGAGTGTGACCAATCCCTCGGAGACAACGATGATCAATCAAAGTCGTCAAACATCCTCAACTCGGAAGGCACATTTCCTAAAAATCGATTAAAACTGTTCTCATCTGATTTCTTAGAGACACATGAATGTCATTACGGACCCAACGAGCCATATCTGATAACGTCTCGAGCCACTGTGTCACAGCATCTCTCGGACCCCAGCCAGGGAGTTGTGAAGAACCAACAGGATCCAGCCCTTTGAAGCTTTCTTTCATACCCCGACACCATGTCATACACTGACCACATCTCCACCTTTTACAACCAGTCACAGTGTCGGCAAATAATGCACGACGTGGAATTCTCTGGGACGACAATCGTAGAACATGTACAAGACACCGAAGTCGGTGTTTCAAGATGGTGACACCAATTGCATTATCGTCTCTGTGCCCGAACACACGATGCCGAACCTCTGTATCACTAACAAGGTGTTGCCATTGGATGTCAGCAATACTTCAGAGACAGCAATGATCGAACACATAGAGTTGTCTAACGTCCTCAACTCGGAGAGGCCAGATTTCACAGGCATAGAGCAAAACTGCTCTCACCGAAGCGTTGTAGATCCGACCTTTTACAGCCAAACTAACATCACGAAGGCACCAAAGATGGCCCAGATTGGCATAAGCCGCTCTGGCTTTCAATATACGTGCATTGATTTCACAACTCACGCCACCACCAGCACTTATGCAGCTACCTAGATACACGAACTTCTCGACTACTTCTATCTGCTCACCATCCAGAGTGAGTACATGATTAGAATCCTGCCAGTCTTGTAGAAGTACTTTGCACTTCGAAGGTGCAAAGTACATACCGTACCTAAAGACACTGATTCCCAACTGATTAAGTGCGGATTGCATGCCTTGGGCATTGTCGCACAGTAAGACAATATCATCCGCATACTCAAGGTCCAGAAGTCCTTCTCTATACAACAGATCCACACCGCCATTACTTACATACATCAGAGCTGTTTCCAGAATGTCACCGATGGCAAAGTTTAAGAGAGATAGTAAGATTGGACAACCCTGTCTAACCCCACTGGTTGAATGGAACGATGGAGAGAGGTGGTTGTATGCCGTCACTCTACCCGAAGTGTTTGTATATAGAGCCTTTGAGATGTTAATAAACTTCTAAGGCACACACTTCTTCAATAGACAATCCTAGAGAACAGTCCTATCCAACGAATCTAAGGCAGCCCTGATGTCAAGAAACACTACGATTGTTGGCCTTTGATAAGTATGACGGTGTTCTAACATTTGGCGGAGGGTGAAGATATGATCAAAACATCCTCGACCGGAACGAAAATCAGCCGGCTCCTCGCGAGTCAATCTTTCTCGGGTTTTGAACAACCTACGAAGTATGACGGAAGCCAATAGCTTGAACACAATCGGAAGTAGACTCATCCCCCGATAGTTGTTACATGAACGACGTGAGCCCTTTTTAAAGATAGGGACAACTATCGAATCATTCCATGACGTTGGTACACTCTCGAGTTCCCAGACCTTTGTAAACAACACAGTCAGTTCCTTAGCCAGAAGTCACCACCATCTTTAAAAAGAGCCGGAGTTAAGTCATCTGGGCCCGGTGATTTGTAGCGCTTCAAGAGTTGGAGTTCCTTGCAGACTTCCGCCTCATTTGGTGGACGTCACTGGCCATGGACGGGCAGGACAGTCCGACCGATGTTGTTGAGGCAGCAGGCCAGTTGAACTGCCCTTCGAAGAATTCTGCCCATCGTCCAAGACGTCGATGGATGTAAGTGATTGGCATACCGTCATCCTCGCAGATTGTTTCGCTCACACCAGATTTCTTGCTGCCAGTGGCTCGGATGAGTTGGAAGAGCTTCCGGTAGTTAACAGATGCAGCTGCTGCTTCCAGCTCATTAGCACGCTCCGACCACCAGGTTTCTCGGTCCTTACGCAAGCTTTGACCGATTTGATTACGTAACATCCTTCGTTTGTGGTCAAACTCACGGTCACCCGGAGTAAATCGACGGCTTCGATGAGTTGTAAGGAACCTGAAGAGACCCAGTGCTTATAAGCGGAACGTTTCGCGAAGCCGCAAGCAGGTTTACTCGCCATTTTCATGGCACCATGAAGTTGAAACCAATGCTCATCTATACTTTTCGGTGTAATGGTAGCTAGCCTAGAAGCTAGCTCGGTTCGATAATTAGTCGCAATAGAAGTTGCAACCAACTTGCTGACATCAATCCTTTGGTGGCGGTCACTTCGTTGGACATTGAAAAGTAAGGTAAGATTGGCACAGACCAGAGCATGATCACAGTCCAGATAAGTACTCGAAAAGGAGCGACAGTCTTGTACACAACCACGCCTGCGGTAGCTAATCGCGATGTGACCATAGATCGAATGTGACAGGAAAATTGCGTGGGTAGTGTCAAGGTTAGGCTCAGGTTTGTAAGCATAAGCTTTTATTAAATTAGGTGGTTGAAACATGTATAATTCTTGCGCAATACATTGGCTTACTACTGGAAGACAGTAGTGAACAGTTTATCACAATCAGAATACAACATACAATGTAACAACCATGAAACTTAACCATTCGTTGGTTTGCGAACGATGACGACTGTCACTAGCATTGCTTTAATAAGATAACTAAGTGCTATACAATCTCATCCAAGGGAAACTTCAACCATATTCCAACTTTTATTTTATAGTAATAATGAAAATCTCTCATTATTTTTTAAAACAAAATATTCTTATTAAGATAAATGGAATGTGAATATTTTCATATGAAACGCATCGACGGATTTTCTTGATAATACACGTTATCAAATAATGAACTGTGAAAGACAATGACGATGGATAAATAGTGAAGTCATTTATCATATCTTGTTAGAAAGTTCGTAACGTAACCATAGTAACTACCTGACAAAAATCGATCATCAACACTTGCAAAAATTCCTCCTCCATACTTGGTTTACATATTGTATTTGTAATGGTGTAAGTTTGAACACCTCCTGCTTACATGTTTGTTTGCTTTTTGAGAGAAAAAAGACATTAAATTTGAACAGCATGAAGAAATCAAAGCAAGCAAACAAATTATCTCTAATTTCACTCGGTATCATCACAGTAAAAACATGTATAATAATAAGGAAAAGACAAATTATTTACCATTGATTTTACTCGATATGATGCTGTTATTACCATTATTATTTGAGTGATTAAAAAGATTAATCGATTTCTCAGATTGATAAATCATGTAAGTGAATACATCATTAGAGATGTGTGTTTTACCAGAACCAGAACGACCCAGCAAGCATAAAACTTGTTGACTTAAAGAACATGGTAAATGATACACTGGGTTTCCATTGACATTATTTTGTTGTTGTTCCATAGTAACTATGGTGTAGAATAAACGTCGTTTTAAACGAGCCAAAATTAATTGTGCCACAGAGTATACATGCGGTGGCATATCATAGCGTACTTGACAGTTAGTAAATAAATCCATCACCTTTATGATAAGTCAACAAGGGAAAATTACAAGTGATAGTGTATATCATTCTCATTTGTTTTTTTTCTAATAAAAAATTATAAAAACTCAAGTTTTATAGTTTGACACCAAGTTTTGCTTTATTTGTGACAAAAATTGTTCATGAAAATATATCATTATTATTACATGAATTAGAATCGGTAAGTATTACTACTCATAGATAGTTTCTAGTATGACACATCCGACTAGCTAAGGTTCATTCTGAAAGTAACTACAGTAAAATGTTTGTCCAGTACAATATTATCAACGAAAGAATAGTAATGCTTAATTTGCCAAGTGGCTTTCTAATAATTTTTACAGTAACTCAACTAAAAATAAAATTGTAACTTTTAAAGTATCATTATTAATGAAGAGATCAATTATATCCATTATTGATATTCAAAACTGGATTATGATAGATCTTTGTTAGCGCATTTCTGTCCAGTGCTGATTGTTAAAGTGTAGACATTTCGTCACGCTGTTTATAATATAGATGGATTATCACTAGCAATGGAATATAAGATGTGTGTTTCATTCTATTCGGGAATCACCAACTAGGTGTTCTTACACCAGTGTTGATGTTCACACTGAGACTCGAACCTAAAATCTCTCTCTTCAAACGCCAATGCGTAATCCATTGAGTCAATCAGTTCAGATTGTTCATAACTTGCTGAACAGGCAGCATTATTGTTAGTAAAGTTCTAAATTTTGTCGTTGTTGATAAGGACTGAATTTTGAATATTCTGAATCGACTGATGAAAGCATATTCAGACATCAAATCCCATACGAGATGAAACGCATGTCCTGAATTGCACTGCTAGAGAAAATCCACTCGTTCTTTAAAATTAATTTTTCATACATATTTGCGGAGCAAATTAATAACAACACAATTCCAATATTCTCCTGTTTTAGATTACATAATTGAAGTAACATCAGTTGTATGTTGTAAAACTATTCGCATAAAACACTTGCTTCACATCTTAAATGGATATTATTAAAAAGCTAGTCAACTGTTATTCAGTAACATTTGAAATACAACTGTGAAATAAGGATCCATGTGGAATAATATTAGATTTCTGTAATAATAAAGAAATTCTCTTTGGCTGGACGATCAGTACTGTTTTGTATTAGTAAAGAATTTCTTAACAATCTATACCCACAACCTTGAGGAGAATCAAACCCGTCATCTTCCGATTTCCCGGCAAGTGTGCTAATTTCAGACTACCAAGTTTATTTCCAACGGTTCACATTAGTAAATTCAATAGGTCAAAAGAGTATATGAATATACTGTCAACATTTTCAGTGTATGGAGGTCATTAGGAAACTTTTTCTAATTGTCTAAATTGAACGCTTTTGTAGTAACCAGAAAAGATTAAATATTCAGGATGATGAACACATCAAGTTACAGTATGAAACAATTTTGAATGTAGTCGTTGCAGTCATTATCCCGCAAACTACGGTTTACAACATTAATACATGCTATAAACTCATTGTAACCGACTTACGATTTCGTTCTCTTGATGATAATAAAAAGCAATTATATTATTGTAAACAGAAAAAATTTATATGACTAATTATCCAAGTACTTTCAAACAGAATGGAACTAATATAAGTTATCCTACTGTTCGTCTTAAGTGAAATGACTAACAAGCATATATTAATTTTATTCATTCGAGGAAGAAGCATCTCACAACTTGTTAAATAAATTACAGTAGATCATGAAACGAGAAGAGAGGACACAATAGTTGTTTTCAATGAGACACAGTTTATAATTATTCAAGCTAAAATATTCTGTGAACTAAATGTAATTCAATAGTTATTTACCTACCTTAATTTTACCACAAAATATTTATGAACTCGTATTACTATTACTATGACGGTTCTTATTGAAGTTGGGTAGTCGCCTGTAGTGGAATGCAGGACGCGTGATTCATCCCATTTGGAACTCGTTAATTGGATGTACCTGCACCCTAGTGTTAGCGTTCACGTAACACAAAACTTTACAAGTATTGCTGGGAAAGTTTTTCAACAAAAACTATTGAAAACATCGCAAACATGAAATTCAATCATTATTATTACCATTATTAAAAAATCTTTTATCGCATTGCTACCTATATCCTCTGTTTTGATAGATCAAAAGTCATTCATACATATATACATTCTCTACAATTATTCCACAGTATATATACATGGAAAGAGTAAGAGACCTGAGAGAATTATACTTTTTAAAGAATTATAGGACTCACTTTATCTGAATAAATATTCAAAGGCATCATTGGATTAATACTGATTAGATTGATGCCTGAAGCATAAGTGAATATTAGACCAGATCCATATCGTTGAATAAATGAATGTGTTACACTGGATTCATTGATATAACGCAATTTAATTAAATCATCAACACGATCGAAACGAGACGGATTCGCCTACATTAATGTTTTTTTGTTGTTGAATCAAAAGGGAGAGAAAACATCGAAATGGATTTTTTTAAAGGAGGAAAAAGTTAAAAATTGTTTTGCTTGTTTTCAATTAATCCTTACACTGATCTTTTTAGATAGATAAGTGTTAATTAATATAAATGAAGTGACTCAATCATTCCTAAACAATGTAGAACCTGATATATATAACAATAAATTCAAATTATCGACACCACACAACATAAGTTTAACAAGATGAAATTATCAGGACAAATTCCAGAGTAATGGGAATATTAACAATATTAGTAGTAATACGAAAAAACTAGGTATAAACAGCAGGATTCAACGAAAAGACAATCAATTCGTGAAATTAAAAGTGCAAGATAATATCGAAACTCAAGATTTAAAGGAAGGCAAATAATGAATGTATCTGTGTCATTGTGACCGATTTTGATTCATCTCATCCAAAGTCTCCAACCACTGGTCATGATAACCATGAGGACCGCAACCGAATAGACTGGACTTATTACTAGAGCTTACCACTCAATGACTATGGATTGATGCCATGTCTTGGGATTTGGTCGTTCTTAATTTTCGACAAACATACTCCTAAAAGTATAGCATACAACGTCAAAGTAGATGGTGGTTATGGATACAAAATACATTTCTCAATAACCTCAATCAGTGAACATTCATAACCGCATCAATCAGTTCGACATTATATATATATATATATATATATATATATATATATATATATATATATATATATATATATATATATATATATATAGTTATTATTGTAAACCTTTGTCATTTCAGTCGTTAACATTCATTATGTCAATTGTTTCACACTATTTCTTATCTCAATGTAAAATTCTATTGCATATTTGGTTGAAAGCAGCTGACGAGAAACCTCGAAATATCATGAATCCATACTATTCTACATCAATATTTGTTCTTGCTTTGTTTAAATTCATAAAGGGAACTAATTGCATGGAATTTTTTAAATGGGGAAATTTGTAAAAGTTAGAGAATAGGTGGTTCATAAATTAACTTCTGTGAATAAATATTTCATAAAGAAATACCTATTGATTACTCAACTGTAGTACCTGAATAGTGGTCAGTGTAAATGTTGTTTGTTTAATTATATGAGTCTTTCATATTATTTTCATATCAAATGGATTAGAGATGACATGTGTTCATTATGTGGTTTTTTTCAACGGAGTCAACTCTGAAAGAAAATATATTAAAGGAAAGCTACTAGCGAACAAACCGGGATATTTCATTTGCTTATACGGTCAGTGATAAATTGAAGTCGGCTATATAATGATTACTTATCGTACGTAAAATAAATAGAAATCAGCCACGATGGTGAAAATATACTCAGTATTTTTATATTTCTTTAAACTTTGAGTTTAATATTATTATCTTTTACAGTTCTAAATACAATTTCAACGTAAATACGTTTTAGAATCATTGGCACTTTACTTTTCGTTATGCTAATTTATTCACATATCCTTTTTCTATTTTGATGTGTGGAAACTTAGGCCTAATTATATTTATCCCAGATCCAACATTGTTCATGACTATACGTGCATTAAAAATATTTTTTGTAGTATTCCTGTGGTGGAAAATGTTAATTTCTGTCGGTCTGCCTGACAGTCAAAAACAGACAAGTTTGATATTTTTATAAAAATCATTCCATAATTTTAAATAAAACTGAATCTCACTTCTTAATTGAGCAAAACAAAGTTGTCTAAACTGACTAACAATCGACTTGACAAGAAAAGATGTAAAGCAGGAATGCATAAATACCTACTATTAATCTAGTTAACTTGCTTAAACAACTCTCATTAATAGTGTAAATAATTATTTTTAATTAAAAATACTTGGGAATAATAAAGAAACAAGTAAACGTTGAGGGAGTTAAATGATAAAATTCAATTTATATGATACATTATATACATTGTTATGAGATCTTACACGTTCAACATCTTCAAGATTCACTTCAATTACTTCTTGTCCTGGTAGAATGATCACACGACATCGTCCATTTGGTAGTGAACTAAGGAATTTTCCAGAAACATATCCTTGTTTAAATGTGATCCAAACTGGAAAATCTGTTTGATTATTATCTTCGTCATATACAGATTGCACATATTCATTATTATTATTATTATTAGGTTTACGTTTTATGGTATGAGCAGCATCAAAAGATGAGTTCTCAAGTGTATCTGGTTTTATCTGTAATCAGACATTAGAATTAACTAAATTACTGTTCAGTTAACTGAATGTTAACTTTTACATGATGATAAAAAATGATTCGTTTATTTCAAGCCTATCAATAAAATATCCAAGCAGTAACAATTTACTCTGATTTCAACTCCACAAAATTTGAAAATTACAAAACAGCTAAATCATAAATTCTTACAACACTAAAAGAATCTCTAATTAGTTTGCCAGGCAAAATGTTGGAATTATTTAAATTTACAATGCTGAGATTATTTCAAACATAATTTTTACAAATAATGTCTTCAATATGTTCTGTTCGATTTTATCAAATTGTTCATTTGAATTATAACAAATGTTCGCATAAATATAAGAATAATATTTCAATTTATGAACAGCCTGAATAGATTCACATACTCATAAGGATACTATTCATTCAGAAAATAGAATTTAGGTAATTTCAGACAGTAGAATTGATAACCAGAATATTTCTATCTTCAGGTAGTTAATGCTTTAATTATTTGAAAAAAATGTGTATCTATTGTGGAAGAATTAATTCTAATGAATATTTGCTGTTTCATTATTGTTTACTACATTATCATAAACTAAAGATTGGTGCTTTTTTTATCTAAGTAATACACGAGTACCTATTCAAATTTACTTAATGGTTAAAAACAAGTCAGGTCTATGATATATAACAAACGGGAAATAAATTTTGGAAGTTACAACATTATCGATTATTCTGAACAGCTTTACTGGGATTATGTAGAATAAGCATTTTACATGGTTAACTAAGATAACCATTATGAAATCTGTGATAGTGGTTATTTCATGTAAAAAAAATTGGAGACATTTATTAAAATAAACTGTAGATACATGCAGAAGAGTTGGTAAAACTGTTTTACGGAAATATTATTTAACTCAATGAGCTGAAAGTAAAAACATAAATCGAAATGGTCTCATTTTTGTAAGGATTTGCACTTAAAAATCAACACCAGGATGCAAGTACACCCAGCTGACGAGTCTCAAATAAAACAAAACGCGAGACTTAGAGACTTAGTCATAACACAAAATTAACACAAAACAGTATCGATTTTAAAAATAAACAATTATTTAGTCGACGAAAAGCGAATTAAAGCCATGTACTCTCAATGATTATAATTTCAGAAGAGCTTTGTTCAATGAGGATTCTAAGTTGGTAATTTGAAAGTTAATTTATATTGTTCATAAGATTGTATAACATAAAATACAATATTATTCAATAGAGACAATGACGCCATTAACCATTAGTCAAATACCATAATACTAAATCCATATAAGAAGTAAATCGATTTTGTTATATCATTCATTACTATTCAAAACCACTATGCTGTATCTAGTTAAATAACAGTGAGAATCCAGTTTCGTAACTCTTTCCTGCTATAAGATTAATTCGATACCATTATTTTTTTGTATGAATCCATATTTCTCGAATAATCATAAGGTTATATCTCATTTATGGAAACCTCACTTAGGATCATGATCAAAACAAAACAAAAAACGTATACTTATATATGTTAACTTTATATTGTAAAACAAAAAAAGATGATAAAATAAATGGATATTTATTTAGTTATCTGATAAATGAATTATAGTCATTCCATAATTTGCTTTAATATTTTGTTTATAAATGATGGATAAAAATAAACTATTATTATTATTATATTGTATTGAGAATTAATGATTATATCTCGTGATTTCTAATTATCATTATGAATCAACACTTAAAACGGTAAATAAAATTATTTATTGGATTGCCTTAATACAGTATTTTATCAAATCAATTATTCCATTAAAATAATTGTGAATTTTATATGTTTGTAAATGAACATTTACAAAATACTTCATATCATTAGTACATGTATATAGAGATAGTGGAAGAGAGTGAAAAAACAACAACAACAACAACGATAACAAAATAAGAGATGTGAATAAGCATCTATTACGTTTTCTCAAGCCAACAAAGAGATAAGGATTTTACACATTTCTGTTGTATAAATAAACTAGAATTATACGCACAAATTTCTATGATTTATTTATATGTAAAAAGGTGAGATTGAAAATTGTAAATGATATACGGTAGATCATTTGAAATGATTTGGGTCTATCTACTATATGATATAATTTTTAAAATAATTCATAACTAAGTTTTCAAAAATAATAAACGATAACATTGTGACGACCATTGTCACGACCAAACCATCCAGCTTAGAGAACAAAACTCCATCAATAACATTGTGAAACATATCGTAACTATAGTTAATTGACTTAATTTTGTAATAAAAATGAAAACATCAGCATCAACAATCATGCATATCCGGAGCTACATGACAGTGTTTGTATTGAAATGAAAAACAATCTAATCTCCTGAATGATAGATAACTGAAAACTATCCGTGTTATGGAATATTCAATGTATAAGCACATGTAAATAAAATAATCATGCTGGAACACTTAATATATCACTGTTATAAGCTTGTAACAGAAAAAACACCATGAAATGCAAACACGTATTAATAATACTCATTTATTATATGCATTTGAGAGTAACTTTTTATTATATACTTTAAAATTTAGAAACCCTACACATGGATGATCTTGACAATATGTTCCATTAAAAATTCGATTTGTTGTAAAAAAAACTTCCTTTTTGTGTAACCAAAACGTTTATGTACTTAACTTACTTAACTTTATTTTCTTCAACTGTATAGTATTGATTCCATTTACAATGTGGATTGTCTATATATAAACTATTTTATGATCTACAAATGATTGAGCATTGAATAATAACCAATATTACGTTTGTCTAGTCATCTACTGGTGATGATTAAGTTCAGTCGATCAAGTCTCAATATAGCCACTAACCTACGAAAGTGGACATAGTGTGCACTATTTTGAGACGTAAAATGGTCGAAATTGGTCGATAAGAAACCATGGACTTAAGTTTCACGCTAGTCGGAACTAGTTAACAAGGTATTCATTTCATCTTAAGGGAACTCGTGTTTCCTGGAGAATTCGCTACTGTATCATCCAGCTTCGAAATTTGAGACGTCACTACATTGAGCTATTCGAACCACCACTGACCTCCCGTGTGACTGAGATATTTACAATTTGATCACTGAGTATTGACCAATGTTATGTTTGTCCTTTATGGTTATTACAAGAAGTATAATAAACATTAGTTCGGTAGCCACAATGCAAATAATCTGTTATGTGGCAATTTTCGATAGTAAGACTAATCATTCACTTAGCCGATTGTCTAGCTAAGAAAAAATGTATTAGAAAAAACTTTTAAACTTTAAATTTTATGGTCAGAAAAACAATACTAATTATGAATATAAATTTATCCCGATACAAACTTAATCAATAGCAATAGTAATAGTGAAAATTACCGCAGAGTTCATGATAGTGATACGCTGTAAAGTTATCCAAGCATTGACAAATAATGAACAAAAAGAACACTTCACTCTAATAGTTTACAATAAATAAAATTTCCGTAATCAAGGCTCAGTTGTTCTCATTGTAAATTTCACATCATATCAATAGTTAGGCGACCATATAAATATATATATATATATATATATATATATATATATATCAGCAAATTCTTTAATAGAACAGTTTATTGATGTTTGCATGCGCATGTGTAATGTGACATTTATGGATGGAATTCACTCTACAAAAATCAACTCACTCATCTACTTGTGCTATCACCATAATCAGGTGAACAGACTTTCAATCACATTTCAATTGTTCACTACAGTAGAATATTGTAATTATTGGAAGAAATATGACAATAAATTTTTTGTTTCATATTATTTTAAAAAGAGAAACAACAAAAGTGTAGACATTTTAATGTATATACAAGTATGTACAAATGTATTTACGAATATACATAATTTTATAAGGCAAACAACTATACATGACAGAAAATGACATCATTACACATAATTTTCATTTGTATTAGAAAATATATTTATAGCACATTACCGTACGTACGGATGAATGTGGGTAAAAGAAAACATTCTATCTCAGATTCACACAATGCCTTGATATATATATAGCATTTTAGAGAGGTTATATTCTGTGAGCTAAATGGTTTGGTTATGAAGCTTTCATTGTCTTTCCCGATATCAATAGTATATACTTCAGAAAAAAGTGAGCTATTGGAATTCCCACAAAATTGGCAAACAGCTTGTTTTGTTGACCTGTAGTTCGGTATTGTATTCACCGATAATCTGACCTCTGACCTTGCAGTTATTGACTAGTAGACTGAGTTGATTTTGATATATCCATTGATTAACGCGTCACCGGAATATTAGGCTTCTCAAGATTCTCTAACTTTCTTTGTGTTTCCTCTGTCCAATATTTCGACAATTTTGCAGCAGAACTCATGTCAATAGTTGCACATATTTATTGATACAAGTAAATTCATGTGATAACGTTTAACAACTAGGTGGTGACCACACAGACGCAGACAGAGAAAATGGCGACTTTGCTCTATACATTGTTTGTTCAGTTGTTGCAACTTCTGTCAAACAAAGTCTATATTTCATTGATGAGTGAGTGATACACAAAAGTTTTATTTTACAATTGTTTATCTGATAAATGATATCTAATTATGCTTATTTTTTAATATAATATTTTGTACTCGAACATATTTGAATTGACAATAAACCTATTCTGATATCAATTTCTTGGACGATTTGCGTCAACAACTCAGAATCGTGATCGATTGTTAGCCATCTAACCAGCCACATTGTATCATTATGTATTACTTACTGGTCAACATAATTTTTCAACTCTAACAGTCCCACGACATGTGTATTCTACTAATAAATTATCCCACATAACATAAATCGAAGGGAATTTCCTCAAGCAAAAATACCATTATGTACACAACGTAAACACAAACATTAACTTTATTTATGATAGTTTTGACATATTGCTATTCAGAATTGTGAGGTATGAGTTATTAACCCATTTGTGATTTACCTTTAACTCCACCTGTATTTCATCTAGGGTTGCTGCCAGTCCTGATCCCGGGTAAAGGAGGGGGGTTGAGCATGGGGTGAGCAACCACGTCCCATTGAAAACAACCTTGCTTACCAGAAAAAAGTTAAACCATCTGAACTCTGACTTGGGAGTTGGAAGATATTAATTCAGAAGAATTACGTCTCATGATGGAAGCCGAGATTCATTTTGAGTTAGGAGACTGATGGTCCTTCTAACAACCACAGAAACAATTAGTATAAGTACATGGAATGTTCAGAAAATATGGGAGACCTGAAAGGCCAGTCTAATAGCTGAGGAATAAATGAAACACATTGAACTCAAGCTGGACAGAAAAAGATAGATTCTGCAGAGATGTTGCTGTATGCTGATCTCGAAGAAGAAAGTGCTAAGCACACTCAGGGAAATGCTCTGATGCTGTTCAAAGAAGTACGCAAAACACTTATAGGATAGGAATCTCATGAACTCAGGATCATCAAAGCATCCTTCAAAACAGAGGAGGAGGGAATTACAATGAATATTATCCAATGTTATGCACCCACCAATGACACCAACGACGACGATAAAGATCAGATCTGAACATCCTGATAGGAGATTTAAATGACAAAGTCCTGAATGGAAAAGAGACACAGGAAGACCAAGTAACACATTGCGTCGGGAATCGGGAGCACACATCAAAAGAATAAATAGCAACTGAGAAGGATCGTCCAAGATGGAGATTCCTGGTGGACGGCCTATGCAGCTCCACGAGAGGTAACACGCGTAAGTAAGTTTACATCCATTTATTCAAACACTAGGCTATTAAATGATGAGAAGAGGGTACTTCATTGTCCCTTGTAATTTGAAATACCAAAATCCGACATTGAATTTTGTATAACAATAGTTTAATACTTGAAGTAATGCATTTTTAACACGTAAGTTGTGCGCTTGAACTATCAAACAAGTGTGTTTCAAAACTATTTATAAATATTACCCAGCTGCCTAAATTGAAGTAGGTGAGATGAGGTTTCAAAATGAGACCTATTGGTTGAAAACCGAATATTTTAACCAATAAAGCATCTCTCTATATTTGAATAAAGATCCAAAGTTTAATAAATTTATTAAAACAAGTTCCTGAAAACCTTAATTTTTCAAATCCAACAGTGACTAGAATTCCATAATGAACACTAATTGATAACGGAATGGCAGATGACGTCATACTGTCCAGTCCATGGAGCTTATCAAATTCTATCGATCAAGTTGCAATTTGTTTACTGACATAGATGACTCATCATGGGGGTGCACTATGCTTAGCTCCTGTGGACTTAGGTTTGATGCTAGTTTTTAACCATCAGTAAGATCCACCTGAAATTCTGAGGTAAAAAACTCTCCACACAAAATTCGATCCCTATAATCCATTGTGATAATCATAGAGATGTCTACTACTCAGTGATCAAATAGTGTAAACGTATAGTGAAAGCCACAGTGGATTATGCTCATCTCGGCTATCTTTTGTATTATCATTATGTCAATCTAGATGTAAAACGTTAGGTCTACAATGTATCAGGTAAAGCAGTTTTACTCTATGCTTGTGAAACACGGTCTCTCTGAGTTGACTCACCGGGTTTGATCATTATTGTTTCCAGAGGATAGTTGACATGATGTACCAAAACCATGTTAGTCTCGTCTCTACTGTTAACTGAAGTGCCTTTTTTATCATATAATGTTCTTATTGTTTTATAAACTTATTTTTTCCTCCTTAAATGTACTGCCTCTTCCTTACAATGTTATATATATTCTATCTAGCATATCCTATTTTCTCAGTGTCATGTTGTAACATATTTTATGTCCTTAATTGAAATAGGATAAATACACTAAATGCAACCGAAAAAGACAGGATGAATGTAAGGATTAATGAAGGCAACAAAAGTTACAAAGACTACCAACCACTAACGAGGCAATCAGAACGGATTGATATAACTGTTATGGAATAATCAGAAAGTGAAATTCTGTATGAATTAAGCGCTGATGATGTCGCTCAAAACCATTACGAAAATTCCATAAGCAACTATCTAGCTCAGAAAAGACATCACTAAAAGCAATAATTTGAGCTGAAAATGTTCCCTACCATTTTAAGACGGATTCGTTGTTTTGAAAGGATGGCCAATATTTTTTCTAGTTATGCAATTATCATTGTGAAAATATCAGTTGAAGTATGAGCTGACTTGTAACTAATGAAAATAAGTGCGAATACAACAGTGATTGGTACGATTTTGTTCCATTTCGTATAACACTACTTTAAAATGTCTAAGTAGTATACATTGTAACACTTTATTTTAAAAGGCAGTGTGTCAAAGCATCAAAGCACTAAGAAAATCTAATTTCCAATGCACAGGAGGAAAAGGTAATGAAAAATTGCACCAACAAAACACGAAGTTAAATTTATTAATCCTGACTGCTATCTATAAAGACATTCGTTTCAAGAAGAATCCCCTAAATATATTATAAATCGGAACACTAAAAAAATTACCAAATAAATCATACATAAATTGATTTCGTAACAATGTGAATGATATATGCTATACACTTTTTTAGCCTTATATCTGAATTCAGTTAAACCATATGATGATTGTTATCTAAATATACATGACCAAATCCTCGTATATAATTGTGGACTTGATTCACGTTACAGAATAACGAGATAAAATAAGCCAGATACGAGAATGGATTTTGAATACGTATATTTCATACACTGGTTGATTCCAACAGACAATTAAAGAAACAATGCAACGAGGAGGGAGCAAAGCGAATAAGATAATGACGTTGGAAAAATGGAAAATGAAGCAATGCGGAAAAGTTGAGTGAACCAACTGGGTTTAATCAAGCGTAACTCAATATTTATAGTCCGGTAAAAATAAGTTACGGACGCGTTATGAACATATATATGACAGTCGTTGTTAATGAACAAATAATGTGGCTTGTGAAAAGTGAATAAATAAGTCTAATCAGAAGCTAGAATGACCTATGGGGGGTTGATATAGTACCAGTCACTACAACGCTGTTGCACTTTGTGGGTTGGATGGTTCGATTGCGGAACTTTTGTTGTCGTTCTATATATTATCAGTTCAGGGAAAATTACAACCATAAAGTTATCTTGCTCATAAACTGAACGTAATCTAGTAACAAATTCAAGTACGATTAAATGTCTAAAGACGTGTCTGGTCAGAGAAGTTGAAAATATAGGATGTTTCATTGAAATCTGTTCAATTGGTTACTGAAAATCCATAAAACCTGAGGTCACTTTTTTCTTATTTCTGAAAATGATTATAAAAAAATTAATGTTAATGTGCTCATATCACAGATACAGAAAAAATAATTTCAATAGGATTAAGCGCCTACCTTTTGTAAATATAGATATAAGTTTTTGAAGCCTCCGTACTTAACAGCGTAGCCCCGAACAGAAACCGGAGTTATGTGGTAAAAGTTGTCTTGTACATATTCTTGTTCGGTTTTTAAATGCTCAAGTCCAGGATGGGAAGTAAGCACTAGGCGATAAAAGAAATCGGTAAATTCAGGAAGAGACTGTACAGTCAAAGACAGATAAAGGTCAGTGGAGCGAATCAATTGCAAAACTTCATTGCGAGAAATCGATCCAACAGGCTTGTCCCCAACAGCTACAAGATAATCACCTGGAAGTAACCCACAGGAAGGATTCTGCACGCCATAATCTGTCAGAAGGACCTACAAACAAACGTCGAATGCAACTTTTAGAAAACACTAAGTGAGGACTAATAATAAAATAGTAATCCATCTAGGGCTTTTATCAACCAGAATATTCATAAAATCTTATTATTTACTTTATTAATTACTTATGAAGACACTAAATACCAGTTTAAACAGTATAGGCAGGTGAAAACGTACTAGTTGAGTCCGAGAGCACTAAAAATCACTGAGCAGAGATAACTTTTGAATAACTTGAAGAACTAAATACTTCCTAAGAACTAATATGAAACAAGTTTCGGTAAGAGTAGCAAGGACACCTTTCTTTTCATGCACAAATAAGCATATGAACAAATACCTTCTATCAAGAGTTTTATGGAGTAAATTTATTTGTTTTCCCATCATATGATACTTCTTAATACCAAATATGAGTAATTAACTAAATTACTATTTCCCCACCAATTTTTCTCGGTAAGTAATAATTTAATATATCATACTGAAAAAATCTGGCAACCACAAACAGCATTCAAACAAACTTTCTTAGCGAATGAAGTAAAAGACTTTAAAAAAATCAATTACCTGCAAATTAAACAAAACACTTCATAACATAATTAGAGAAAGTACTGTTGACCTTTAGCTTTTGGTCAAATGCAATATCAGCGGTATTTATTGCCTAAGTTGTATTGAGAAGGCTAAAACAGACATTTTGCAGTACTATCACAAACTATCTCTAACACTCTGTTTTTTACGTTGCACTTGACAAATAATATTTAGCAACACCTTATAATTAACAAGTCGGATAGTGGTACAAAACCCAAACAGAAATGCCGAAAGAAGCAAAATGGTAGAATTCACTAATAAATAGTTATCCCGGGTCTTACAATGCATGTGGTTGGTTGCTTCTGATCTCCAGTTTGTTGGAGAAAGCTTTGAATATTCAAACATTTCTTTTCTATATATCATTGATTTTTAGAATAAAAATAAAATATGGACGAGCCAATCAGAGGTTATTTGTATAGACTGTCTTTATTGAAAGGACTTATGTCATGAACCTTAAAGTTAAACTCTAAAAAAGCCAGTAGTCATTTGCTTATTATGAACACAATCACCCAAAATTTATATCATTAAGTTCCTCATGACACATTAGAAAAAAATGAAACTGCAAGCTAAAGAAACTTTAGATAATGTTACGGACTAAGTCAAGTACTCTAGTATTCAAAATTTTGTATCTGAAACAAATTCCCGGCCAATTAATACACTTAAACCACTCCAACATAACCCACTAGTAGAATTAAAAGCCTTCAGATGATCTACAGTTTATACGAAAGCTTTATGTTGTACAACAGACAAACCATGGTTTGTCTGACTGTGGTCACATAGAACACGGCATATAAGTTAGTCTAACATCACTAATGCTGTGTATGGTACAATAATCAACATCAAAAACATTATGCTACAGAGCATTGTTCGAATAGAAGTCTGAGAATGAGTACTTATTGACTTAATACTTACTTCAGAACGGTTCTCTAAAATAAATCCATCATTCGTTAAATGGAAACGGTGAACCAATAGACCACGGCGTATAAAAATACCGTAGCTTGAATCAGCATTCTTTTTCAGTTGTACCTTGAAGTGGGGTAGCTCAGCATGACTAAAGTTCCCTTTGACGTGATTCGCAACTACGGTATCTGGAGAGTTACTGGACAAAATAGAACTTTTGTAAGCTGGGAGGCGAATTCGAACTTCTTCATAATACTTAACAGGTTTTCTACTCACATGCAAACCGGATGCAGGATTTTTACCTAAACCGTAAATCTAACAGTAAATGGATTACCAAATATCGCTTGATGAAGTCTTGCAACTTTAACTGCAGGGTCACACCTTGACTCATTCATATTTTTATAAACCAATTGTTTATGTAATAAATACACACCATTTACTCAAGATAATTCAATACCGACCCTACATATCCACAAACAAAGATTTCAAGAAGGTGCTTTAAACTAACCTAACTATTAATCTCACGTTCATGCATATAAAGTACACACAATTCAAACTTGAAAATATGGTGAGTGACAAAAGAAAAATTGTAGTCCTTATAAGCTTGTATTGATTGTGAAAGTATTTTTGATTACAGAAAAATGTAATTTTCGTTCAATCACTTTGACTTCAAAGAGCAAAATATTAGTTGATAATAGCAGTTGTCGAGTAACGATACTTCAAACTTCTAACTTTGCTAGATATATTTGGAGAACATTTCCCCCCCCCGAGATCTCCAGTCGAGCAGTGCGAGAGTGCTTCTGATTTCGGGAAAGTATATATGGGCACAACAGCACCTTTCAGTCACGAAGTAGCTGAAAGTTAAATAGCGAACACTTGCAGATGGCAGTAAAAAGGAAGAAACCAAGTTCGCACATTACTTCAGAACTCTGGGTAGAATACCATCTGGGAGAGTAGTCTCTTCCAAAATTAAGAAATATCGGACTTTCATTTGGAGGGATCAGTAGATGGCTACGGCACTACCTATCCCTAAAAAGAAGTCTATTGTTTCCTGGCTTTAATCATGAAAATACTCGCCTGCACTTACGAGTCAACTCGTCCGTGTCCAACCTTCAAGTAGTGCCTTGCTAGGTGCGGTCCGGGACCTAAACGTATTACCACACTGTAAAGGTGACGAATACTTAAGGGGAGGCGATTCAATATGATGATATTACACCCTATGCCTTTCTGTAGCGCAGGTTTCGAGTTCGATGCTTCTTAATGACTTAAGTATCTTCGGATCGTATTTACTGAGAGCGTTTTAATACAGAGGTATAAATCTCCGTAAAGAAGACAAGACTTTTAATAAATATCCGTAATAAACAGCTTCTCGGGTAGTACACATGGATTTAGACCTTGCTAATTTTGAAAGATGTTGTTTATTAGGGTGCGGCTCAGCTAACGTTTTGGCCACAGATTACGTGAGAAGCTTCTCAGCTTTTAGAAAGGCGATTCAATATTCCCAGATTCTCCTGCCTCCATTTATGATTTAGTATGCTATTCATTCAGATCATTATCATATTCCTCCTTTTTGGTAATATGAGTATATAATTAAAAGATATTGTTATCAACAAAGCTCACTCCTGTTGCAAAAATAATCTAACTGATTTGCGGACTATTAGTATTCCAAAGATAACTCTGTTAAATACTTTCTACCTTTACTCTCGATTTCACACTTTTCAGTTTTCAAAAGCATTAGGTTTTTTGGATTTTTAATGAAGACGATACTTCAAGGCGATTCGATTTTTCTCTTACGTATGTTATCTCACAATTCGTCCCATTCCGAATGAATAACTTTGGACCATAACTCCTTGAGGTTGATAAAGCTTTTCGAAGGCAGGCATGACAACTCACTTTTCAATGATTTCAAATAGAAGACTCGGCAGCTACAACATACAAATCTGGAAAGAGGAGGAATTATGAAAAGACTGTATAGCACAAATGAAAGCTTGTAGGGGAATTGTGGCAGACCAGAGTGAACCGTCAGTTACAAGGAAGGGAAACCAGACGCGGATGTTCATTGGCTAAAACGCCTTTGTGTATAAACTCTTAATTAGACTAGCACCACTTAACCCACTGGAAATGAAATAGATACCCCCAGATCTCTCTATAGATGATATCCCACCAATAACAGAGAAAATAAGTGAACGCATCAGACAGGTCAAGAATGGAGAAGCGACTAAACCAGATGATACGCCATTTTGTGTACACAATTCAGACTTTAAAATACGGGAGAAAGAGCAGTGACCCCTGTTCCTTAGACTTCACAGATGACCTTACTCTCTCACCACATACACATCAACAAATACAGGTCAAGACAAACAGTGTAGCAGCAGCTCCTTCACCAGCAAACATCAATATTCACAAGGGAAAATGAGAGATTTTCAAATACCACACGGAGAACACCAACGCAGTCACAGTTCATGGGGAAGCCCTAGAAGAGATGGAAACTTTCACGTACCTGGACAGCATCATCAATGAACAAGAAGTACCTAATGCAGATGTGAAGGCAAAGATTTACAAAGCAAGCGCCATATTCCTACAGTTAAAGAACATCCAGAACCCAAAAAAATTGTTGGCCAGCGCCAAAGTCAGAATCCTTAATGCAAATGCAGTGACAGTTCTGTCTTACATGGTTAAAACTTCGAGAACTACCACAACTATAACCAAAAAAGTACAGGTATTCTAAACAGTAATTTATACAAGATACTACAGATCCAGAGACCATTAACACTGACCTAATGTGTCGGAAAATAAGCCAGCTTCCAGTGGAGAGAAAAATCCAGAAATGACGCCAAATATAAACAGGACACACTGCGGAAATCAGCAAGTTGTATTACAGGGCATGCCCCAACAGAATCACCAGAGACAAACAAAACGATTCTATAGCGGTAAATAAATCTACTAAATGAATCGTCATGCAAGACCTAGATATTAATGCTGATCTCGTTGGTTTCATTGGATACAACCTATCTGTAGGCGCTTGGTCACGCATCCGCACCGGATCACAAGTGAGTGCCACGTGCTACACATGCCCTGCAACCACTAGCCAGGTTAGATAAAGCGCCTCTTATTACTGCACAAATGTTTATGCTAATATCCGGTTTCACCCTGTATACTATTTTATAAATCTACATGTATTTATCCGAGTGCACTAAATGATATATATTTTTAAATTGTTGGTTTACTTCAGAGGTCAATATTCATTACACAATTATTGTTATTACTAATATTATGATTTAACCCTTTCACTAGGTGTTCATTTCTTGTCTCTCTTTTTTCCTTCTAAATAAATATTATTTTTAGGACTCCGAAGTTTGTAATTAAGACTTGTGTTACGCTTAAATTAACTTCTCAGACTCGTTTTATCTTCACTATGCGTATATGACTCATACGTATTGACATTTCATTATCCTTTTCACTTAGTTGAGACTTTCATAGCATCACTCCAAACTGTGACTGCACAAACATTTATTCTAGCATCATGCTTTTTCTTAGTTATTTTCTATTTTATTTTTGTTACTAATTTGAGATATATACATGGTCGTTTATTCTTGTTCTGTGTTCATAAACACGCTTATTAAACTATTTGCGTATTTCTCCTAATTTCCATTCCCTTATTTTCTTCCTTTCCTTCTTTAAATTCAACTCAATATTCTTCTAAATTACACAGAACGTGATTTATTATTATTCCATAATCATCATTATTTCTTCTCTCTTTTAAATATGGCAAATATAGTGCTAAAATTATTGGAACTTGTGTACAATTGCGTTTTTAAAAAAATCCGAAATGGTTTTTTCATAACACTTACGTACACATATGATGTTTGCGAATAATAATAATAATGAATCAACAACCCAAAAATACATATTCACATTCATTTATTCCTAATTTCTGATATAACTGGGTTTGTATCCTTTTATTTTAAAGGTGTTATAGATAAGGGTGTTATAGAACCCTGAATATCTTAAGCATCTTTAGTGGTGAACCCGGTATGGTAGAACTTTGAAAAATCACGCTGCTTTTTATATTTTTATTCGCCAATTACTCTCCACTTGACCAACGGGTAAGTCATACCTATAGGCACGTCGACAGATCCATACATTCCTATATTTATTACTGCTCACAGTCTGCCTATCAGTTTCTGCCCCCTCCATTCCATTTGTCTTGGAGTTCATCAATACCCAAAGGATACTTATGGATTAGTTGGCAAGCTCCAACGCGTAATTACTCTCACTTCGTTTGGTACCGGTTCAAAAGCCCACTGAGTCTGACGAGGGAATATTGCGGAACCAGCGAAATGTCCCTGGATTCTATCCAAACCATTCAGTAGTCGAGTCACTGAATCTCAAACAAGTTGCCCATCCTCACCAAAGTCGAATACAAAAAGCACGCATCAGTCAGTTGCCTGTCGTGCACTGATCCAGGCGGCAGCCGGCGCACTCCGTTTGCTGGACAAATTCTTGTTGATAAGTTTCTGTAATACCGTTACGTCCATCGTTTACGATCATCGATGTGGCCATGGTACCTGGATGTGACGAACGGGTGCTTCACACTGTGTGGTAATCGCAAGATGAGATTTTTACGCAGGCCATAAGGTCACATCATTCCTGTCCAACTGGAATAGGCTCACAACCATCTACAGAAATCATCTATGCTGACGACTCGCAAGAAGGAACAAGGAGCACGTCGAGGAGAAAGTCAGAATCAGCCTCATTTATTTCGCGTGTCCTGAACGGTAAAGTCATTAAGTTCTGTGACTTCAACGTAAGGCATGTAAATCCGACAATCAAACGAGTTCTAGCAACTATATAGTGAGTGGAGAGTATTTGAGGTAGAGAACAAGAAATAAGTTGATTACTCTGGCGGGTTCACAAAACTTTAAATTTACAGGTGCTTTAAACGACCTATAATATCTATATTTTGCGACGTTTACAAAAGGCTACTTTTCTGATCACAAGTAGGCTCAACTCTGGTTCGTAATTTTGGTAGTCTACTAAGTGACTAATCAGAACGAAGCAGGATTTATCATTTTAGTGGACAACGAACGTCGACTTGGCTTGTTCTGTGTTTTTTTTCTCAAACTCTTTCATGTAGCTGCAAAAGTTGATTCGTAAATATCATGCAATAACGTAAATTATGTGATCCTCTAAATGTTAGTTCTGTTTTTTAATCAGTTTTGTTTTCCCATTTTTCGCTGCGACTACTACTAACCGGGATCAGTGCTTTTTCCGGCATGCTTACTCGATTTAAGCGATAAAACACCAATCTGTTTTGTTTTCAGTGCTTCTTATAGATATCAGATGATAGCATGAGACATTTTAGCTAAGATCCATAATGCTGCCAACTGAGATTTTCCAAATTTCCGTGTATTCATACTTAAGTGTTATTATTGAGGTTACTGAGAGCTATAAATAAAAAGTTTCCTGTTTTGTTCCCTATTAGTATTCCGTCGAGTCAAACAAATAGTAAATATC